TTGGCGCAGGTACGCGGAGTCGGTAAGGTAATGGAGATAGGCAAGCCTCAGCACAAGGTACGGGACCGCAGACGCACGAGGAAAGGCGCGGGCGGCCGACTGCAAGTGGTGGAGAGAACCAGGAGACTCCCGTGCGTCCGGTGTCCAGGACCAGCGGGGCCAGCGCCTGTGTTCATGCAGGATGACCAGCGGCCGTTGCGAAGTAGCTGTCAGGTACTGGCCGCGTACTGTGTGTGGTGTACGGTGGTGTGCTCTGCAACGATGCAGGAAGCAAAAGAGGTATGGATCCGGCGTCTTGGTACGAGTAGGTTGATGCGGGCAGCGGTGGCTGCAGCTGCACACAGGGTGAAGCGGAGCGCGTTCGGGATAGCGTCTCTGTTTTTTCTCGTGCGGATTGGATTGTCTCGTCCTGTCTCGTTTCTCGCGTTGACGGACCGAGAAGAGAAGATCAAGAGAAGGGGGCCGTGCTCGACGTTTTTCTTGTTCGTCGTCTGTTGCCCGAATTGTTCAAATTTACTTTGGCTTTCCCCTTACGCTCGATCAGATGAAATTGAGAGGAGAAATGGGGGGAGGGGGTCGATGTTGGCCGTGATTGGTACGAAGTAGTGAGTGGTGGGTGCATGGGTTGGAAATGGACGGAATGATTGATACAATCCAAGTCGATTTAATTGGTTGCTTCGAGTGACGACAATGTGTGCGGTTGACAGGAATGACTCTCAATTCTGGTAGTTAAGCTCTCTGCCCTTGACTAGATCGGGGATGGACGTAGAATTTAGTCGATAAAGGGGTCAGGCAGAGACTTAACCAAAAAGGGAGGGGGGGAGAAAAGGGAAAGGTAATGGAAGCGCGGAAGACATGGGAAGCCAAAAAGTCAGGCTCAGAATTAAGTCGCCAAGCGTCGCATTAACAAGTGAAAGGCGGCGGCCTAAACGGCGTTGAATCTTGACAACGCTAGGTAGCGAGGTGTCTCCGGTGGAACGTATGTGTCAGTGCAAAGAATGATGGGCGAATCTGTACCTGGATTGTTGATTGCGCTCCCTCATCTCACCGGAAGGTAATATTGGCAATTGCTGCTTGTCGTATAGGGTGGTGGTGGTGACTGGACATTTGACTGGACATGGCGCAAATGCCGAATTATTAGCTCCAGAATGGTATTATTGACCCCCCTTTCCTCTGTGTAAGGTATGCTGGGCAACCGGGGAATGCGTCTCTTTTGCATTGAGTCATCTTGCGTGGTGCGGCGTCGCCACTGGAATGGCTGCACAATGCTGATTGCACATCGCTGATTGCACATCAGACAAAGATAGCAGGGACGCAGCGACAAATCATAAGGTCTATAGTTGAAAGACGCTACCCGGGGGAACGGGAGAGGGTGGAGCGTTGGATAAGAGCAAGATGGGATGGGATGAGATGAGAATGGGGATGGGACACTGTGGATAAAAAGGAAACGAGAGAGGGATGACGATGGGCCACCCACGCAAGGAACTTTTTTGAAGACAAGGTGCGAGAAAAAAGAACTTGAAATAACACGGATAGCAGATGACAGAGATCCGTAATAAGAGAAGTGGAAGACGAAAGGAAGGATCCAATAGAAGATGTACTCACCCACAGACCACAGACCTGTACGAATACCCTCCAAGGGAAGGAACAACGGTGCAAATCTCAATCCAGGCGTACGGGACCGAAAGAGTGGGGTAAGGGGCAGGGGCGCCCAGGTCTGAAATCTTGAGGAACCGAAGCAACCGGTGATGAAGAGTTCAGAGTCGCAGCTGCCTTGCGAGGCACAGCGCCCAAGAAAAGCCAAGATCCTATCTGTCAGACTTGTCAGCTTGAAATGATCCAGTCAACTTCTCCCCCCTCTTCCTTTGCAGACCACAATACTGTAAACCACGTGTAATGGGCACAAAAAAAAAAAAAAAAAACCAAGCAAGGGCTCAATTTTACCCCTGGCCCCGAGCTCCGGCAATTGACCAATCCCAACTGCAATTTTCCCGGCCCGCTTTTCCGGCCCGATGCGGATACCAACCTAATACCTAAGCCCTGTCGGTGGGAATATGGAACGGGAAGCCCATCTGAGAAGAAGCTGGCAGTCGACGGCTCGACTACTCGAGCCAAGACGACAATGGCAACAGCGAAGCAAACGAAAGCGGTGGGGGAGACGCGGTAGGTGTGGGTAAAAAACAAGGTTCGCTAACAATAGGGAAGCTTCTCGGTAAACGATCCGGGGTGCTCAGCTCCCCAAAGTCTTCAAGAGACGTGAGACACGTTGAGCAAACGAACAGACAACTGACCCAAAGGGACAACCAGCAAACCTACCCCTCGAGTTTCCAGCCGCTGCTTATATTGATAATCGGGCTGTGAAATCGGACAGTGCCCCAAGACCGGATTGGATAGGTTGTCGCTGAATCGAATGGGCGCTTGAGCAGGACGGCTCGTTTTGGGTGTTCGAAATAGCCGATCAAAGATTCAGACAAAATGGTGGTCGAATGTAGTAAGTTGGCAACATCAGGAATTACGCCCGGATGACCGATGTACATGAAATACTCAGAGGAGGGGGAAAGCGTCTTTATATCCTGCTCCTCACCGAAACCCTGTCCAGCATGCGAGGGGTTACACACGATCTCCCTCCGGGTCTCAGTTCCGCGCAGCGCTTGTACTTGTCTCTCGTTAGCTGCATCATCCTCGCTGGCACGCTGGCGGCTGGCACGCTGGCCCTCCAGCGATGTCGCAGTTTCGTGCAGGAATTAGTTGGCACTTGACGTTTTGCACCCGCACAATGTCTCACCGGCCGTTGATCGAAAGGAACTCAGTGTGAGAAAGGAAATTAAATGGAAAAGAAATCAGGATCTGCATGCGACGCGCTTCGGTTTGTTGACATACCATGCGTGAGTTCGGATGCCGTGCAGAAACAAGCTACAGCTCAGCTAGCATATGCGCTTCGCAGCCATCCACTTCATCTAGAAAGCAAGGCAGATGTCTTCCCTCAACGAGTGGCAGTCGCAGGAACCCCACGTAAAGTCCTGGACTTTGGGGGTTATTTTCATCACACAGAGCTGAGGCGCGCTTCGACGACGACCAAGGCAGTTTACATCTGTATCACATCTTCCATGCACCAAGGGGTGGGCTGTGCAACATCACGCCGGCAACGTCGCACGTCCACTCGGTCGCTTGGGTAGCGAGTGTCACTACCACCACGACCGAGCCAAGTGCTGCTTCTCTGTTGACGGGATGCCTGTGCTTGGTGGCGAGATAGACAATAATGAGTATCATCCCCGCGAACAGGGTTGAGAAAGAACACGAGTTGGCCCTTCGTGGACACAAATAATTGTCATCATGATTTATGTCTCGCCAAGTTGTTGAATGGAGATCGGCGCTTGCTTGAGGTTCTAGTTTCTCTCGCAAAAGCAAGAAGTGGGCAGATGCCCTTTCCAAGTGCTTTTTCTTGTCTCTGGTTGCCTGCTGATTGCTGAGGCAACTTGAACTTGCGCACAGATGGAGCTTCTGGAAGGTGTAGTAAGAGGACTCACAGTATTTCATTGATCACAAGTCGATATATAGGCTTGAGTCACGCCTATCAGATGTTTACCTATTCTCTTTGCAATTCAGGACCGCATATTGGCTTATGAGTTGCCGTATTTGCGAATATGTTTCCAGAGTGAGCCAGGTAAGTAGAGCAAGGAGTCGCTTGGAACATGCAAACAGTCACATAAAATGGGGGAGCGGTCGTGAGGTGGCCGAATTTCTCATTACCTCGCCCTGACGAGGGCTCAAGCCGGTCAAGGACCATCCACTAGGGACGGTCCCGACAGAAAAAAGGATTCCATCCATCGCTAGCTATATCGCAAAAGCAGAACCAATGCAGAAACCGCGTAAACATCCTCCGAAATTCCCAGAGACAAATGAGATCCAAAAGCATCTGGTTGGTTAAGTTGTTCAGTCTTGACATGCTTTGTTTGCTTGGGAGATTTTCCGTTTTTTTGGTGTTGTTGACTTGGCGGGACGGCCGAAGGGTGAGTCAGGAGAGCTGTGAGCGCCAAGGCTTGTCGCTCCTTTCCGCTGTTGAAATTGTACATGATTTCTCCTTTCCTCGGCCTGCCCTGGAGTCGAGGCGGCCACATCCCGTAGTCCTCTAGACATCCGTATCTCGGAAAATAGGAAAAAAAAAGACAAAAAACACAATCTGTATGGTTCCTGGCACCAAACTGATGTGCCCCGGTATGTCCAATACCGTAAAGGCCCAAATCCATTTCCGATTGAGAGATGTGAGTTGTTGAGTTGCGCCCCCCGTTGTCGTTCCCAAGTAAGCAGCGTAGTTGAAGAGGGAACGAACTTGGTGCTGGGGTGGTGTCTTTTTTTTTTGTCGTTGTTTTTTTGTGTTTTTGCGGGGAAAAAACCAAAATCAAAGAGTAGCAAGTCTCTCGTTTCGTTTCCTCGTGTCTCTCTGATGAGCCATTGAGCCGTTCCCTCACCACCTACGAGTGAACGTAGAGTAAAGTACTAGAGCTCAGAGGGTAAACGCCAATGATTGGTAAGAGAGAAAACCGCCGGGGCCCGGTATATCCTGTAAATGGTAATCTTTGTCCAGAGTTGCGGAAGAGAGAAAGCAAGAAGAGCGGGAGGAGTGATGTCGTTTGCGGGGTATTAGTCCTCTCGACTCCGGTAATCCACCAGAAAGGTTTGTTCGGCCAACCTCGATGAGAAGTGGAGATGATTTTCAAAAGAAAAGACAGCTCCCAGATGGTGTTTTTCCAATCTGGTGTGGGAGAGAGGGGAGAAAGTGACGTTCCGGCATGGAATCAGACCTCCGTGGCATCGCAATTCTTAGACAACCTCCTTTCCCTGTGATGCAACCACTGGAAGGCAAAGGACCAAACGACAAGAAAGGAACCGTGTTAAACGCCGTGACAGTACCATGATCGCTTTGTAATTACACATGTGTTTTTGGGTGTCCTGGTCGAGTCAACTCAACCATTGAGCCCGAAAGAGTAACCGAAACCTCTTCAGACGGTCTTGGGTGTTCGCGCGTTGCTGTGGTCGATAACGTCGTCGAGGTGGTTGCACATGGCCACGAACAGGTCGAAGAAGAGCTTGCTACCGCCGCGCTCCATCTCGGCTTGCATGGTTCCGCTCCTCTTGAATGTCTTGCGACACCTGATGATCAGGGCGAGGTAGTGAGCGCGCAGCCGCGAGTCTGAGTCGGGGGTGTGGGCGTAGGCATACTGGGCGGAGCGCAGGATGGTGCCGATGTCGATACCAGACTGGAGACCCTGCTTGCGCAGAGCCAGGCGCTTGAGCTCCTCGAGCCCGTACCGCTCCGCAGCACAGTAAATGACAGTGTCGCGGAGGATGTGTTGCCCGCATCCCGAGACGAAGATTGTTGCCTCACTCGGGGTTGTGGTGGTTGTCGTTGTGGGAGTGGAGGGGGTGACGGCTGCGCGGCCGCCTCGGGTGGTGTTTTCGGGGTTGGGGGAGGTTTGGGGAGTTCCTCTAACAGCGTCCTCGAGCTCCCAAGAGTTGCGGTGCCTGTTGTGCATGAGGCGGGGGTAGTAGTCACCCTTGTAGAGGTACTCGAGGACGGAGGAGAAGATCTCGGGTTCTTCGTCAGGGAGGGATATTCTCTTGCTCTGCGACTCAAAGAACTGGCCTCGGCAGGCGGCCTCGAAGAAGGGCGACTGGAAGAGGACGTCCTCGTGAGCGGCAAACAGCCGGCCCTCGCGTCCCACAGTCAAGGTGACGATGGGCGAAGGGGCCACGGACTTACCCGTCTTGGTTGGCAGCGGCGCGGGAGCGGCTGGCGGGGCCATGGCGGGCTTCTCAGTGACGGACTGTTGCATTTTCGATAGCTTCTGGTGATCCCGGATTGAGCTTGACTTCTTCAGCCTGGACGTCTTGTCGACGCGGACATTGGGGTCTTGCGACCTGAAGGTACGCTTGAACAAGGACATGACGGTGAGTTGCTAAGGGAGAGCAGGCGTTGTTGGCCCGAAGAAGTGGTTGTTGATGCTGTTGTAGTTGTTGTTGTGATTAAAGAATGACAACTCGAATGGGGGACGATAGAGTGAAGACAAGGGAAGCTGAGACGATGGAGAGCGCGTTGCTCAGGGTCCTTATATGTCTTTGTCTATGGGATAAGAAGACTTGTAGAGAGCGACGAAATGAGCGAATAGAGGAGAAGGGGGAATGACGAAGTAGGAGGAGGGGAGGTCGGTTCGGAAGGGGAGGGGAGAGAGAGTGTGTGAGAGAGAAGTGAGTGACAAGTGACACACAAAAAGATTGACTGGGGGTCCGGGGTGGGAGATGGCTCCTATGGAAAGGGAATTCAGTAACGAAGGACCCAAGGAGGTATTCCCAACTTGCAACTTTGCGACCCTTTTTTGGTTGTGGTTGAGGGGAGGGAGGGGGAGAACAGGATAGAAGAGGGGTGGATAGCGGAGGGGGGCCCTTCATACTTATAGTGTCACGTAAAGTTGGTGATGTTGTTAGGCTGGATCTCTTCTTTGGCGGGGTATCATTGGCTGCCGCCCTCCCAACCGCCGCATTTTTTTGAGTGGCGGCGGGTGATGTTGCTTACCTAGTTGGAGCCGCGTGTGTGATAGGACGAACACCACCAGCTACGGTACTTTGCTCACAAGCACTCTAACGAGAGCAGGTACTCGACGTGCTGACGCTTGGGAACCGGTCCCGAGAGCTGAACGGCCATGAACGCTGTTGGGAACTTGGGGCGCACTGCCAGCTGCGGACCGGGCAGACATGGACAGCCCAGGCAGCATCGACGCCTAACCACCACGACAAGAATGGAACGTCGGGACGTCAGTGACTTCACCCGCGGTACTTTGCGACTGCCACTTGGGTTCCTGGCTGTCAGGCTTTCTCTCACTCTCTGCTTCACCAATGGAATCTGCAACATGGCAAGTACACGCAACGGCCCTGGCTGAATGGACTACCTAGGTAAGGCAATACGCACGACTGACACGATTGACTGGCCAGACGTGGGATACGTATCTTTTCTCAGGTATCCGCCAACCGGGGGAGTAGCCGCCAAGGCACAACTCAATTCCCCTTTGCCCCAGGAGCCAACCTGCAAGTCAAGTCTGTGTTCTTATCTGAGGTACCTCAGATCATCAGTCATCTTCTCACGTGTACCAGAGGTACTTCACGATACCCCAGACGCCGGTACATGTGGAGGCTGCTGGAACAAACGGCCACCGGCCATCGGCCCTAGGCCCAGACGGCCCAGACCAGGAAACCCCCCTTCCCTCCGTGCCTTCTCCGACCCCCCCGAGATTGGGAACGGGCCTCCCGGTGCGTTGGCAGAATGGAGTAACTACCTCAACTGGGCTTGGGTCAGGTACCTCCGCCTTGTACCTCACATTCCTCTATCCGAATTCGCCCAGAGGCATCGGAGGTCGAATGTCGGGAATGGCGGCCCAAGAACCTGATCCATAGACACCTCACCATCCTCGCATGCGCTGTCGTCAGGACCGCACGTGAGGGCGTCGCAACGCGGGGCTCCCTTGATTGCGCGAGTCCTTGGTGGTCCTTCTCATTTGCCTCCTCGACACCTCAGGACATCTCAGGAGTCAAGGACACCTCATGGATCCCTTATGGACACCAGAAGAAGTCGCGAGAAGGCGGTCGACGGCCTCTTGGCAGTGCCATTGGCTAGTTGCCGGCGTCATAAGCACCGATAGATACCTCGAGTGCCCAACAAGATTCCGTGATCGATAAGGTATCCGACTGATTCGGCCAAGCTGCCAACTCACCGGCGGCTCGACTTCTGCCCTTCCGGTTGGTGAGTTCGTCGTCTGGACATACCGTCCGCGGTTGCCATGCTTGCCATGCTTGCCATCCGTATTCTCTCCTCGCAGCATCGGGATTGCTCGAGATGCTGCACCTCTGACCTCTCCCCTCATCGCCGCCTCCCCCGGATCGCCCAAGTTTCGCCCTGTCATGCGGGATTGGATAGAGCCTCATGCCTTCTGCAATACTTTGACACCTGAACTTGCGTGTGGGTGCCTTACGACGCAGTTCCTCCTCGCAGTTCACTGCCTTTCCACGACTGAGAGCTCGCCAGCGTCTACCTTATTCCCCCAGACGCCTTCACATTGGTCTCAGTAGCGCCGGCAAGAACACATTCAGACCTCGCTGTCTCACTAGCCACAACCCAACTTTAATTCATCCAAACCATCCGAACCATCCAAATCGTCTCGTAGCCGCACGAACGACAACTCTCTGGCCAAGGTTGTCAGGCATGCCGCTGCTTCGGCTTCAACTTCTAAAGCCCTCGTCCAGTTCGTCTCGTCCCCTCGGCCCAATATCCTAGACCTCGCCTCTTTGGATCGTGGACCCGCGAACCCATGCAACCAACCCCTCCTCTTGCTCCCCTCCTCGGACAAAACCATATCATCGACTTCGGCCCCCCCCCCTTCGAGATTGGCGTGTGCCGCTAGTCGGGCAGATTCAGGCACAAAATCGCCTTCGCCAATCAAGAAGAGCCACCAAGACCCTGTCCCGCTCGCTTGTTCCCCAATCCTTGCTCTCCGCCTGTCTTCATCGTCGGCAAGCCCACTGACCTGCATCGCCGCCTCAACACCGCTCCTTGCCCCAGCTCCAGAATCCATTCATCGTCTTCCCCTCGCGTCCCGTCCCGTCAACGCCCATGATACCATTACCTACCAACGTTATTAGTCGTGGAATCCCCATTCCAGCAATCACGATTGATTCGTCATACAGTGCCTCGGTTTCGGGAAATAGGAGTTGCGCGTTGGAAGTCTTAATGCTCTAGGTTATTTTGGTAATCGTATGTTCACACTCCCTGGCACCTCGCCCTCCACCGCCTCGAGAGGTACACTACACCCTCCTCAACCCCAGCCCGATGCGTGCCTTATCAATCCTGCAATCTGAGGCATCCGTCCGCTGTACCTATCAACGACGCATGGCCAAGCACGATGGGACCGGCCACCACCGCCGTGCTCACCGCCCGACGCTTGCCCCGTCCATCCCCGACAAGACCCGTCTGGACCGAAAGTCCCTCAGTGGCCCGCCACCGCGGCAGCGGCGGCAATCCGTCTTGTGTGAGCAGCTCGGGCCATGTTCTCGCGCATACCAACAAGACCGTACATGAATGCGTACACTAGCCAACAAGTCAGTATCATCTCAATCAAAGTCACAAGGTACCAGAGGGAACCCACTGATGGGAGCAAGGATGACAAATCCAATCGACGATGCCACCACGGCCTCACGGGATCCGACATTCTTCTCATTCAGCCAGTAAAAGGCATCGGCGCCAGTCTCGAGTTTGCCGATGGCTGCCCAACCGAGATAGAGACCCGCGAAGAAGATGACACCCAAAGTGTGTGCGCCAACGCCCTGCCCGTTTCAGTCGTGTCAGTGTATGTTTCTTGCCTCAGGTCCAAGATAACTCACAAAGGGACGTTTGATGCTGTTGAGCCAGAAGATCTCAATGACAGAGACTACCGATGTGATGCCGAAGAGGTTAATGATGACAAAAGCCTTGTACCAGCCCTTACCGAAGATCTCCGTAACTGACATCGGGATGTTAGACCAAGTCGATATAAACCAGACGTCATGACTTACAGGGTTCGTGTGGTCCATTCTTGTGCGAGTCCTCCAAGCTGGTCCATTCGTACGCAAACGAGTCCCCAATCATGTTCGCTACAGCGGAGCTCCCGGATGGCTGAGGCATCGGGGGCTCTCCCGAGTTCTTGTCGTCGTGTTCCAAGGTGACGAACCAATAGATGACCGTGTTCATGAAGGTGAAAACAGTTGTGATGGTGTAAAATAAGGTGAAGTAGAACTGCTTGCGAAGACTAGCCATGTCGTAGGGCAGTGAAAGTGTTCTCAATGCCCAGTATTCCCAGCCAGTGCTGGTTTCCTCGATGTGTGGATGGTAGAGATGAGTATACGTCCAGCCCTGACAGCAAGGATGAAGTCAGCGACAAGCCATCACTGAGGACTACCTAGGGTGCGACTTGACATACCAGCACGACCGCGTGGTAGGCCAAGAGTAGAGAAAAGGTGACGACAGAGAAATCAAAGACCACACGCCAGTCGGAGTAGGATGACTCTTCTTTCCGCAACTTGTAGTCAAGAACCGTAGCTCCGACTGCGGTCAGATAGGCAACAATGCCACCTCGAACCCAGCACAAGTTGTTCTGGGAGAAGAACCGCCAGGGTGAATGGCATGCTCTGAGGAACGCAGGCTAAGAGAGAAGGATCAGCTGAAGCCATCTTTACATTTGACAATCGACTCCGCAGCGTACATGGTCTTGGACCTGGCCGTAGGATGCTGGTGTCGGCAGACTATGTCCATCGTGAAACTCGGATTGGCTATGGAGCAACGGGGTAGTGACGGAGGCGTCCATCACGGTGGCTTATAATGGGGGCTAGGCAGGAGACTGAAGAGAGATTGTCGAGGTTTGAATTCTGGGAGAGATGATGCTTTTGGCGAGGTCCTGGAAGGGTCTGGGATATAGAAGATGGTTGACCGTTTGTTGGCAAACACCAGGAAAAGAGGTAAAGGAAGAGGTTGAGGGAGGGATATCAGGTCGAACAGGGGATAGGATAGGGAATCAAAGGACAGAGACATTTGAAACATGCCAACGGGGAGGGGATGCTGCCTTCCATTTGCTGCTGCAGCCATGACTGCCGTTGGTGGCGATGGATATTATGGAGGGAATGGAAGGCAGGCCGGAAACATGTGCCTGTCTTTTCCTCGATGGTGGAAGGAAGTGATCTGTGAGGTCCAAGTTGGGGTTTGGGAAGGCAAGTAATACGTTTAAAAGGCTGTTGGCTAGGAAGGAAGCTGTCAGACGTGCTACTTACGAGGGGGTTTGAGGGAGCGACGGAAGCGGGAGAAGGGATACGGAGATACGGCATGATTTCATGTGGTTGGAGTATGTTCACGATGGTTGCCTGCCTGGACTTATAGTTCACCTCAATTGCAAATATCATAACCTTTTGAGGAGCGGAAGCGTGTTGCGTCTGACCTTTGGCATACTCCTGCAAGACGACTGGTTCGAAGTGCATTTGAGGAAAGAGTGAATCCAATTTCTGCTTTACCTAGCGGCAGGAAGGGGTAACATGATTTGCGTGCATTTACGGATACATGCAAAGATGTTGTACACCAGGTAATTAGCAAGCTTGCAGCCTGGGAAATGGTGGAGGTGCCAGGATCACTGGATCAGAAAGCTCCAAGCTGAAGGAGAACAAACGGTGGTCTGTGCGTGAGACCAGGCTTCAACAGGACCGTTGGTCAGGCGCGATAAGATAAGAAGGTACGTACCTGTAAATCTCCATTGACACGTTCCACATCTGCAAAACAGCTGGCCTGTGCTCTTGCTTAATTGCTCTTGCTTCAGCTTCGAGGTGCGTTGCTGGCCAGAACCGCACTCCAAACTCACCATCACGACCCGCCACGACCCGTGATCCTCTGCCACTACCGAGATAATCTGAGCAACATAACCGCCCCAACTTGTCAGAAGCGCTAGAACTATGCTGTCGAGTCTCGCAAACCCGCGCCAGGCGGCGTCGCAGCTGCTCAACTTCGCGCTGATCCTTTCGACTGCGTTTATGGTATGCGCCGCGCTCCTCCCCAAAGAAGCTCTGGCTAACTTCCGTGTTAGATGTGGAAGGGTCTTTCGGTCATTTCCGATTCTCCCAGCCCCATCGTCGTCGTTCTCAGTGGCTCAATGGAGCCTGCATTCCAGAGAGGAGACCTTCTCTTTCTTTGGAACCGCAACCTGATCCAGGAAACCGACGTTGGCGAGATCGTCGTCTACGAAGTCAAGGGCAAGAATATTCCCATTGTTCACAGAATCGTTCGAAGATTCGGCTCCGGGTACATTCCTGTCCCCTTTCTGGCCCTCCTCGCCCTGGTCACTGACTGAGGCTCGTTTAGACCGGAAGCAAAGCTCCTTACCAAGGGTGACAACAACAACTCGGATGACACTGGTTCGTGGCGCCCCCCCCCCCCCCCCCCCCCCCCCCCCCCCCTCCCCCCAGCCCCCCCCCCCACCCCCCCCACGCTCGCGGAGGGCATGTTTTGCGCAGAACAACAACCCCTCCACAGGGGACACAAAACAACCCAGGCGAAAGCAGGCGTGGGGGCCCCCCCCCCCCCCCCCCCCCCAAAGAGCTCCCAACGATCAGATGCTGACCAAAGCAGAGCTGTATGCCAAAAACCAGGACTACCTCGTGCGAAAGGACATCATCGGTAGCGTCGTCGCATATATTCCTTTCGTCGGCTACGTTACGATCCTCCTCTCGGAATACCCGTGGTTGAAGACGGCAATGTTGGGAATAATGGGCTTAGTAGTGGTGCTGCAGAGAGAGTAGATCGGTCATGGGGGCGAAACAATTGATCTTTATTCGAAATCAGCCAGGAACCACCGAGAGCCAGTATCGCGAGAGTCGCTGCCGAGACCTTAATAGCCCGGAGAATCAGCGCAAATGAGACGGTGTGCAGATCTGATCTTGATGCTCATGACGATTGATTTCAATAACCGAGGTGCGTCCGGGTAGTTGAGAGTCGGCTTTGGTGTTGTCACTTGATCACGTCCTTGAGGCATTGTACAACTGGCGGGGCATGTACCAGTCATTGCCATGCTTCTGTGAGTTGAGACAGGGCGTCCACAGAGATTCCTGACGCAGAAGTTAGAATAAAGGTTGGGATATCCAAAGAAGCGTGAATCGCAACTCTAAGCGTTCTGTTGGGGAAACACCTCCACTATCGCAAGCCCCGAGCGTTCTTCTCCCGATCCCGTGATTGCAGTGCTCCGTCAGGTCTCGTGGCATGAATTGGGGGGCTTCGTTTGTCTAGGCAGCCAGCGGCACAGCTGACAGGGTTCTTGTAAAGGCCCATACGAGCCAAAATTGTAGCCCAATGGCAAGGCCCTGATCTCCGCCGCCAGCTAGTACTAGCCAGGGGCGCCGTCCTTATTTGGGACGCTGTTGTTACCAAGCTGGTGCCTGTATCATGCACCAAACTGTTAGAAGAGCGGCACAGTCGTGGGATAAAATGAGGTCAAAATCCCTTACCGAAAAATGGAACCAATGTCTGTGTCTCTTGCTCCTTTCCGGTTCATTGTGAGAGCATCACCAATTTTCTCGTCGCTCGTTGCGCGGTTCAAAGAGTACTCACATTGTGGACTCTCGCCTGGTAGCTGCTAAGTCGTGTAAGACGCTCCTCGAGTCCCTTTGATCGCCATGGCTTCAGCCCAGTACGTACCACAGCCGCAGTACGCACCGCCAGATGGTTTCGAAGGCTACGTGCCGTACGCGCAACAAGCTCCCCAGCGCGAAATCCCATTCAACAGGACATGGCACTTGGTCAAGATTGTCCTTCGAGGCTTCAACATTGCATTCGGCGTCATCATCATCGGCATATCGGTCGCCCTTGTGATGTACTCTTTCTCGAGTTCTTTCTATCTCATATTCAGTGGATTTCCCGTAAGTAGACTCGCCACTTCGGAATACGTAGACAATATGAGATATCTGACCTGCTTGTAGGCTGCCGCTGCAATATGTTGGGATACCACTGAACTCATTACCATCTGCGCTAGAGGCGGGAGACGAGGAATACACCCCGGTGCTCACGTCGGCCTGCATTTACTCTTCTGGCTCGTCTTCATGGTCTCCACGGGATGGGAAGCTGCGAACGTCTACTTCCGCGATGATCCGCGGTCGTGGGTATACAGCTCAGGCCAAATCACCTCTATGCAGGATGCTGTGCTGGCATTCACTGCCCTCTTGTTGTAAGTACTCGAGTGTCCCGATATACTTCGGAACGGCTCTTAACATTTCGCAGTCTCAGCAACTTCACCCTCTTCGTCCGCGCCTGTGTTGAATGCAAACAGCGCAATGTTCGCCCTCCTCCCGTCTATATGGTGCCTGTCGTTGGGCCGCCGCCGATGCAGCCTGCAGGGTCATACCAGCCTTACCCATACTCACCACAGCAGGCTTCTTTTCAGCCGCAGTATGACAAAGGGCAGATGGCGGGGGCCAATATTGATACCACCGAGATGGCCGCCCAGCCAGGACCGGATGGGACGTACTATGGTCCCGGAAGCCGGACTTGATAAGGCGGTGCTTCTTAGGAGTGGACGGAGACGTTGGATATATTGGTATGGAAAACGGACGATACCCAATAATTGCAATCAGAGGGTTGAATTTCATCAAGCGCCAGAGAATCATGTTCAGGACGCGAGGCCAAGCCATGTCTAAAATTGACTGAATAATCTATAATCACGATACCAGTGTCATGTAGCCGTACGGCCTTTGAAAATATGCAATCTAAAGGATACCAGCACTTGTGGCATCGTGAAAGCATGGCATTCATGTTGCTATGTAAGCAGCGGTTTGACCCAAATCATCTGTTTCTCACTCAGACCACTGCACGTCAAAGTCCTTGAACTGAACCTCAAGATCGCTCTTCGCATCCTTTGCAGGCCGAGCGACCAAAGCGCCAACAGTCAAGTTCCAGTCCTTGCCAGTACAGTCATCATCTCCAAAAACCCAGCAAATCTCACGCAGCGGCACCTTGGTGCCGTCCTGTTTCACATAGTACACCCAGAAACTCGGGCCCATGAAGTCGCGCTCCTGCTCAATGAGTACAGTGGTGCTTTTGGAGCCCTCAAAGGCGGCGAGAGGGGTGATGCTCCAGTCGGCCCAACGATCGCAGGCGACGGTGCTGAGTTGTAGCGTCCCCTGGTAGTACTCCAAGCCAGTCTTGATCCACCTCTTCTCGCGGCCGGAGTTGGAGTCAAAGGTGATGATGAGGCCTGCTTGATCGTACAGTTCAGACCAGTCTGCGGAGAATGTGACTTTTGCGGACTTGAATTGGCTGAGGGGTTTGGCCGGGACTGTCTTTGTGGGAGCTAGAGCTGTCAGCTTCCGGCTCGTCATGTGGGAATCAATGAATCGAGGTTACCATCGTAGACGTTGTGGGAAGGCGGCTTCTTCCAGATGTCAGTGTTGGGCGCGGCGGAAAGGGTGAAGGAAGACATGATGGATGAGATCCAGGGTATCTTAAATGTATGTCGAAGCGGCTGAGGATAAAAGAGTGGACGTGTGTAGACTGCGCGTATGGACTGAAGGAACAAGAAAGATATTGTGCTGGGGTTTCGGAGGTTTAAATAGGCTCGAGTGAGAGTTACATGGTGGCTGTTTCTGCACCGGACACCTCAATGTGGTGTGAGCTACATCCTAGGTCATATGTGACTTCACGCACCTGCCCCGCATTGAGCAACACAATGTACTTCCAAGTCCAATGTTGTTTGCCAATACAAGGTGTCATGCAGGGTCTCTGCGGCTTAGACAATTGAGACGGTGTGATGGGCCGATAATCCGCCAATACCAAAACACATTTCACTGTGCTTGCTGCGCGATTGGGTTCCCGGGCATTTGGACAGAACTAGGTAGTTAGGACCAAGATTCGCGACCAGGAGTATCAGCTTGTGGCACTCCAGAGTCGGACGGAGAAGCTGAGTGGAATGGTGTTCCTAGCCGAGTGACTCTTCATCTCTACCTCTGATGCTTACGAAACCAAATAGGAATCTCATGATCAGGACAGATATCGATGACCTTCTCACTTGGACCTGGATGCCGCTGGGGGAGATGATCATAGGTATTGCCCCGCGGTCCATCCTCCACAACGCGGGGCAAAGCAGAAGTGACTCGGCCCGCAGGCAAAAGGATGAGAGGATTGGCTGGCAGAAGTTCGGTCGCCAGCGGAGTCTCCGCCGGATTGCATTGTTTGACTGCTCGGGTTGATGCACTGCGCCGAGTACTACCGAATCGGGAACTAGTCACCGCAAGGTAAATTCAGGTCCTCCAAGTGAATGAATGACAAGCGCTGCTTTGTTAGAGGCACCAGGGAACAGCCATGTGCACAATTTCGACAACAATGGTGGCGTTTTGGGGTGGCTTGAGGAAATCCAGTGCGTCGTTGAAATGGTGGAGAGAAGGGAGATTCGAACCAGCAGCTCCGGGAACAAGATGGAAAATTAGAGATTCCCCTTTTGGGACGACATCGGAGATAGACTCAGGTCCTGGTGGTTTTTTTGGTCCCCCAGCCAGGTCCGAACGCCTCCCTGCCTTTCCTCTCGCAAATGCGCACCTTCCCCCGCTCGACCATCTCGTCGCCAACCCCACTAATTTTCCCATTCTTCACCTCATTCCACCCGCTACCAGTATCCCTCCGCAGACAATCTGAATCAGCAACCAACTTCAAATCACTTATACTCTATTCGCCGACCGTATTACTACTGCCTGCTTCGCCGGACGCGTGGAAGCCTTCTCAATAAGCTACGCTTACATCATTGCTCATAGTCCACGTCGTCTGAGGTGCGAAGCAGACGGGCTACGTCTGTTGCGTTGCCTGGTGCTGGAGGAAGGGGACGTTCACGAAGCGATTGGCAGCTTCGTAATCCATCTCAACCACACCCATGGTGCAGCCAATTCTTACCTTCTAGACAAAATTCTCTTAGACCTTCCGGACCCCCATCGCTTCGCCTCCACGAGGCGCCAACATTCGAAACCATGTCTTCTTTTCTCACGCCCACCAAGAAGTCCCAAAAGCCGGCTACCAAGTCGAAGCCTTTCCAACCACCGAACCGCATTCGAGCCATCCGCGAGCAAGCCGAACGTCAGCAGGCCAATGCCGCCGCCGCCGCCAACGCCGCTGCCCAAGCACAACAGAATCGCTCAAGAGCACCTACCGTCGCCATCTCGAATCGTCCCCAATGTCCAAATAAGGCCTGCGTCAAACCCAATGTTGTCGACGGCATCTGTCAGACATGTGGTCGTATCGCCGACGACAGCAATATCGTTGCCGAAGTACAATTCGGCGAGACGTCATCCGGTGCCGCCATGGTCCAGGGAAGCTATATCGCCGCCGACCAAGCTGGCGTGAGGACCATGGGCCCGGCCTTCCGCCGCGTTGGAGGCTCCGATGACCGAGAGAAAACCATCCGCGAGGCTCGCGCCCTGATGCAGGGTTATGCCCAGCGTCTCAATCTCAGCGATAACACTGTGAACACCGCTGTTCAGTGTTTCAAGCTTGCCTCTCAGTCAGGTTTTACCCAGGGCCGAAAGATTATCGCCGTCGCTGCTGTCTGCCTCTACGCTGCGTGCAGGATGGAAAGGCCGTGTCGCGTGATGCTCATTGACATTGGCGACATCATCCAGGCGAACGTCTTCACATTAGGAAGAACCTTCAAGGCGTTGACCAAAACCCTTTGTCTCTTTCCGAGCGGTGAGACGCCGGTTTTCCCTGAAGACATCATCTACCGATTTGCCTCCAAGCTTGAATTCAAGCATATGACCAACCGCGTCGCCGAGGATGCTGTCCGCCTCGTCCGTCGCATGAAACAAGATTGGATCGTCATGGGTCGTCGTCCGTCTGGTATCTGCGGCGCATGTCTTCTGATGGCTGCCAGAATGCACAACTTTCGTAGGACAGTCCGTGAAGTTGTGTACATTGTCAAGGTCACAAACCACACCATCCAGGAACGTCTCGAAGAATTCAATGTGACGGAGACTAGTAAGATGACGGTGGAGGACTTTTTGTCCCAAGATTTTGGCTCCAGTTCTCACGACCCCCCGTCCTTCTACAAGAGCACCGAGGCTTGGCAAACGCAGCAGGAGGAGCTGGGCAAGAAGCGGAAGCGCATAATCACGGACGACGGTGGTAACAACAGGATGACACCAGCCTCCTCGCTCCCACCGCCTGATTTATCTGCGGCGCCGGCCGTTGAGTATCGTCGAGATAAGGACGGCTACATTATCCCACCTCTACCATCCAAAATTGCCGTCGACGAGCCGGCTCTCAGAGATGCGAATAGCAATCAACATCTCGAAGGCTTAGCTGAAGAATTCGGCGACGTGGATAAGGAGAACGAGGATTCATCGCAGACGGATGCCGGCAGTGAAAAGACCCGGCAACCAAAGCCCTCGTTGCCTATCAACGACGAGTGGGAAGAAGACGAAGCCCAAATGGAAGAACAGATTTCGGAGATTATGAACGATCCCGAGACCTACGAGCACGCCAAAGCTTTCAGCAACGCCGAGCAGCGAGCCCGCATCCACTCGATCTGGGCCCTCCAGCAGCAACCAGATAAGGCCGTCTCAATGGCGCCCGAGGTTGGCGAAGACGAGTTCGCAGATGATCCCGAGGTGGTGAACTGTATGTTGACTCCAGACGAGATTAAGATCAAGGAGCTTTTGTGGGTCAACGAGAACAAAGATTGGCTCCGCGCATCGCAGGAGCGTCTTTTCCGTAAGAAGTTGGAGGAGAAGAAGCCTAAAAAGGACCGCAAGCGGAAGAAGCGCCCGCGCATTGGCGAAGGCCAGACAACGCCTGCCAGCACGCCAGGTGAGGCTGCTGTTAACGTCATGAAGGAGCGTGGCTTTTCAAAGCGCATCAACTACGAAGCTATTCGACAGATGTTCGACGTGGCCGGTCAAGGCGATCCCGGCTCCCGTCCTGAGAGTGAAGCCGCCAGCCGTCCTACGAGCAAGGCACCTAGTGTAGTGGACGATCATTATGACGAAGAGGAAGAAATCGAGCAAATCGGTGGCGATGAGGGCGATGAGCACCAAGACGACGAGTACGGGGGTGGAGACTACGATGACATGGGCGACGAATCCCACATGTATGATGAGGACGATCAGGGGCTGGGTGAGGACGATGACGACGACGATTTTGGTCTCAACGACGACGATGAGTGAGCTTACTCGTTCGCGCAACGTCTTGTCTTCTTGGGGATGGGCGAATAGTGGACGGTGATGTGCTTGTACTAGATACCCCAAGAGCCTCGAACACGTCGAGGCTCCAGCTGCGCCGCCTACAAACGTGCGTGTGTGTCTTATGGATAGAGCGTCTTAGACCAGAACAGCAATCTGTACGGATTTTTGACATGACTTGTCGAATCGACTGGCACAGTCTTGTTGCTTAGTATTACCAGTATCTGTACTGTTTGCCGCGATGGAAATAGTACGAAGCTGGCAACTGTGGCCCAAAAGCGACGAATCATGCAAATCTCAACTCTCATGCTTCTCCCAGAATAGCCGTCTCTATATGTGCGGCATATACAACTCAACTCCCACCAAAGCTGGCATTCTCGAATATGCATGATGTGATAATATCAAACAGCATGAGTAGTTACCTGCATAGGAATACTTTTTGGAAGGGTTCAACGCTTTGACATTAATATATACATTCCACAATCTATGCGCCTTCGCATCTTCCACACTTGGCCCAGACGTCGATGGATGACGATATCCCAAAAGAGATTACGCACATTGAAATAACTACCTTTGATCTCAGAAAGGACTGGGCTGAATGACTCCTCACCCCTAAGAGGTAGGCCTTATTGAATCGTCTCTCGGCCTCGGCTTACATCGGAAAACAAAGGAAACGGCCGGGTGGCGCAATGGCAGCGCGTTGCTTTCCGGTGGCAAAGGTTCTGGGTTCGAGTCCCAGCTCGGTCGATTCGATTTTTGACTTGTATATAATATCTTGCCTCTTTTGATAGGTACGTAGTGGTGAAGTCTTTTATATGGCTTGGAGAATGTGGGTAGCAGTATTCATTTGGGCAGGCTGCTAGTGGGTCTTGTGACGTGCAAGAGAAGTATTGGGTAGCCAATCGCACTGGCTGCACATCTAGCAAGCTCTAATCTTGCGGAAAACGCGAGGTTGTGTGGATAGGCGCATGAGTGGAAAGTTGCAGCGTTGGAAATTTGATGAGCACAGACAGGTGTGGCTAGCTAATATGTCACAATTAAGCGTGCGCTCCGAAAAATAGGTAGCCCCCTGCTCCTCTCCTGTCATTTATTATCCACAGATGTGTACATGTAGTTAGCAGCTGCTTTATCACAATTTCCTTCGGTCACAACATGATAATGTCATTGATCATGTAGCTAGCTAGCTCTTAACCTAAGACACCTAACTCGAGTCACAGTGCCGTTGCCATTACTAGTGTTGAATCTCAAAAAGTCCAAGCTCAGTGGCCTCATCTGTCTGTGATGCTGAATAGTGGGTGGGTGGCATCTCAGCAGCAGCACCATTGTACTTGCGAGGGCGCATTTGGCTTTACTTGAGGGTCTAAGAAGTCCGCCCGCGTCGAGATTATAACACATGAAACATGATACCAGTCTCATGAAAGTAACTCACGATGATTCACCTGCACCGAGCGAGATATGTTGCGAAATCAAGTTGGGCAGTGCTCTAGCAGTCAATTATGGGTATCCATCCAATTTTTTAGCCTTGTGACATATAAAAATGAAGCTGAACGTTTCCTGAGGGCTTATGAATGGAGTCTATGAGTCAAAGAAACACATTGGTGAAATGGACTGTGGAAGAAGGAGGTCACACCAGGCAAGTACAACGTCGAGGTTTTAGTGCATCGAAAAGAACATCTGGAAGCACCTGGAGCCTTCGGACTACCGATTATAGACCCAACAGAAAGCGAGTAGTGAATTTTCTGGCCACTCCAGGCCTGAGCCAATCAATCCTGCATTCAAATTATGACAGCGTTCGTCGCCCACAGACAAGGAACTCGTAGATATGCAGATGCATTTTATCATCATATATTGACCCACTGAAAGCGCGCTGCTGCCTACTCCTTCTCTCTTGCTGTAGGATTCAACCCCTTCTATTCTCTTTAATGCCAAGCCCGCTCATATAATCTCAGGCAATGGTTTCGATCTCAAGAGACAGTTAAAGTCTGAGGACGTCGTCCTCGTCCCTAGACTTTGTGGATGGGAGATTATGGGGTGACCGACCAGCGTAAGCTGCTGGATCCAATCTCAGCCATTGTTCGAACATTTCGTCAGAAAAAATTTGACAGAGCTGCCATCGCATTCTCCCAGGCTGCCGTTCCATTAGACGAAGTGCAAGCTATGAGGAACCTTTGGCTCAGGTTCAAAAGGCTAAAAGCCCGCCGCCGCGCACCAACCATGACATGAGGCGCCCTCTCAGCTGGCCAGCCCGAGTCGCGGCGCTCACGCAAAAAAGGCTAATGCCGGAGCCGGACCGTAGTACGCCGTCCAATGGCGGGCGTTTGTGCACCCACTCTCGTGTTGGGACCGTCACATCGGCAGAGACCTTGCATGAGGGGTTGAGGGCGGATCAGCGGGGGTATTCAGGGGGACGAAGGCCAGAATCTGGGGTAAGATCCCTGCGGTCCTCGGCTTGGAGTTGACGTGAACCGCTGGCTGAGCATGTGTTCGTGATGGGATGGGTGCTGTTTTGAGAGGTTTGGGCTAAGAGTATCGGCCGAGGGGCATGTGAGGCCTTCTGGTTCCCGGATTGCAACGGCGCGATCATACGTCGCCTATGCCTAGATGTGGTAATTGAGCGTCCTTGACCGATGGTGTTTGCGGGGGAACATGACATTGATGGGAGGTCGCTAAATATTGAGTAGGTATGATAGGCGGAGGAACAGAAGCCAACAGGCAAACTAAAATGTGGTGTGATAATGTCAGAGATGATGTTCTGGAATCATACGAACCGGAGTATAAAAGACTGAATGAGGTCACAGTATTTGTGACGGTTTCTCGGTCGGTCAATCCCCAACCTCAGAGCCAGATCCAGATCTCTTTTATCAAGCCAAACGCTCGTTTGTAACAGTCTACAGAGACCATAATAAGAGTCAAAATGCTTCTCAAAATTTCCCTGCTAGGCCTATTTGCCGCTTCAGTCATTGCCGACGGTGCTGCCATCGTGGCCGCCGTGGACGAGATCGCGACCCAGAATACGGAGCTGGGCGACACCGTGTCGTCCTGGGACGGCGGCCTCTTTGGTACGCTCCCCATCATCATCGACTCAACCAAGCTCCTCATCAAGATCAACGAGGCCACCAAGGTTGCCGAGGATTCGGAGCCGCTCAGTGCCCTGGAGGCAATCACGGTCGCGCAGTCGACGCAGAAGCTGGCAGGCGGTGTACAGTCGACGCTCGGCAGCGTTATCGATGCCAAGCCCAAGTTTGACAAGCTCCTGCTGAGCCCCATCATCCTGCTCAACCTCAAGTCCGAGAAGAGCGCGACGGACAAGTTCAGCGCTGCCGTCGTCGAGAAGGTCCCCGAGGCTTTGCAGGCCGCAGCCAAGACGCTGGTTGCCCAGATTGAGACGGCGTTCAATAGTGCCATTGATACTTACAGCTGAATCAACGGATGGATTGCCTAGTTGTGAATGAGAGGATGGGAGGACTACCTATAATGAGGAATGGACGATGTGAGGTTGGGGCTGGGCTTGGTGGGACTGAACGATTAATTCCTCCCTTGCACATACTTGTTAAACTTCAATATTCCTATTCGCTGAGCAAACAGAGATCTAAAGCTCATCGTTGCAAGTCTTAACAAGGATCCATGGCCAAGCACAGGATTGGGTAGCGCAATGCAAGACAAACACGCAGTGCAGCACACAATGTTGGATATCATAATTTTCATTGACACAAACTAGGAAACATGGGTGCAGCCAGATACCTTAAGACTGTGGCAGGGAAATTCTTCCCACCAACGAGAATTGGTCGGCTATATAGGATTGACGCGGTTCGCTTTTCAGCCAGACTTTCACCAAGTGTCCGTCACTTTTGTGCTTTGGTCTACCTTCATTCCGGTCGATTTGACGGGTAGTATAAGAATGTGTAACATAAGAAAACAAAAAGGGGCAACGATAGCCAAAGTGTATGAGGCCAGGGATGACAGGTGCCCTTTACTTTAGGACATCATGCCACGCCGTCCTCAACCGTTTTGTGTCGCGTAGGTATGTCGGATAGGTGAAATGCTACGGCATCGGCTAGATGTGTAACAAATTGACGTCCGAGATGCTGCGGTGGCGCTTGTGGCCAATGGGTATCTCACTGGATGCTTTGCGTTTTTGCGACATGGACTCTAGAGGACTGCGTGCGGTGTCACGCATCCGCTTCTTTGATCGTCGGAGAGGGGTCAAGGGAACGGCCGCAGTTTCGAAGCGGTCGGACTTTAGACCACGCAGGGCGGTGTAGTTATAGGGACTGCTCAAGGCGAGAGAGTCTTGCGTGGCCTTATCACTCAGAATGAGACGTTGGTTGATTTGGTCGCGACGAAATGCCCCCACGTTGTTGGCGTTGATGTGTGAATGGAGGTCGACATCGCTTGAAGCGGTACGTGGTCGAGCAGGAGTAGAGTTCAGGGGATCTGCATCCCACTGGTTATCCTCGTCTTCATCGGCAGATGATCTGGCCTCATCGAACTCGATGAAGTCGCTGATGTTCAGAGACTTTTCAACCTCGTCATCTTCCTCCTCATCGAAGCCAACATCCGAGCTCTCATCAGCAGTGTTGGGTTCGGACTGAAAGGGGAAGAAGGCTTCAGTAGGTCCCATGGCCTGCGTGTTGAGGTAATCACCCAAGGTGTTGGAAGAGAACATTGCGCTCATCATAATTTGTGCAGAGCTGCTTATCATGGGGGAGGGGTGGTTCTCATCAATGGGGGCCAGGTATTGGAAGTTGAACTGTTCGGGCGATAGATCAAGTTGGCGGCGACGATGGGGAGTGAAGATCATCATCTTCCGTGAGATGGGGTTAACGACGGCAATGGGCTTCCGCTCAGAGTTGTCCAGGTTGAAACGGCCTACCCGCGGTTGTCCACGGTGGCCCTTGACCGGGTGATCTGTGTCAGAATCATCCCACTGATCCGCGGACAGTTCGGGACGCTTAATCTTGCGGCGGACAACTGGCTCCGGCTCATCCTCTTCAGTGGTATCACCGTCAGCTAAAGGGGGGGTAAGTTAGCAATCACAGGCTCTCATATTGGTCGTCACAAAGCGCAAACTCACTCTCATAGCCGTCTAGCTCTTGGGTTTCCTCAAGTGCTGCGACCGGAGTGGGCATCTCAGAGACTTCGCCGGTGGTCATGGGAGTAGCAATCGGCGTATCATCATCGCCGAGTTCCTGAACAACAGCCTCAACATCCGAGTCTGCGTCAGGAGCGTACCCGTAGGCTCCATGATAATCGCCATGGTAGTCCCAGAATGAATTTGAGTTTTCAGACTCGTCGTTTTCATCATCCTTCTCGATCTCGCGGCGGAAGGCCGGGTCGAGAGAGCTTTGGTCGACAAATATATCGGGGAAGAAGTCGGCATGATCATCCTCCGTATCGGTAGAGTCGGAATCACTCGAAGGAACATCAAAGCGCACGTGGCGCTCCACAGGACGGTGGTGGTGATCAGAAGCAGCGCTTTCGTCGACCTCAGACATTATGCCATCCCAACTGGCGCCGTCCTCGATGTCTGCGGCGCCATCGTTTCCGTCTTCTTGCTCCTGCTCTTCTTCTTCTTCTTCGTCATCGTCATCATCGTCATCATCCTCTTCTTGGATAATGGGCGGCCGGGGAGGAATCGGGAGGCTGGGAATTGGTAGCACCTCGTGAAGAATATGTTCCTCCTCGGCCGCGTCGACATCCTCCTCGTCATCGTCAGAAGAGTCACTAATATCTTCGACAGCGGAATATCCTCCTTCGTCAGACAGGTCGAAAGACGAAGAAGAGGTAATGGAGTCGCGACGCTTTGCGACTTTCCGAGAGGCCGAGAAAGCCTTGTTGCGGACGTTGCGTGACATGGTGTTGGTTGGGCAGAGGTTGAAACCCCAACGTTGTAGTGTTCGAAGGGGTGGAGTTTGTCTGGAGAATCGGCGGTAACAATGCCGAGTGGATGCCCGAAAGTTGATGGCAGTATCTTGTGTGTGATTCTTTCTTTTGCTGCGCCTGTTTGAAGAGTATACGGCGTGTGAGTAATCGTGTCTGTACTCAGGTCGGATGGAGGGAGCGAGTAACGAGAGCAAGTAGGTGGTCGTGAAGGTCGGAGGAAGTGGAGGTGAGGATATTTTCTTCAAGCGGATAGGCTTCTCGTAGCCCGGTGAATAGTGGGCTTGGTGGTCGATTCGGGTGAAATCAAATACAGACTTCCGTCAATGGGCCAGAGCCGTCCTCTCAATGAGGGCTCCGGACAGTGAAAGCCTGTGTAGAACTTCGTCGGAAACAGAAGGGATTGAATGTCTCGATGGGCTGCTGGACTGCAGAGGTGCCTGCGCTGGGGCACCTCCGCAGTGGGCGTTTACAGCTCAGCGAAAGCGGCGGACATGATTCTCGACGAAGTGTGTGATTATTTCTAGATCCTTTGTAAGGTTGTAGGGCGACTTCGTTGTCTCGTGGGGTTGGGTTGGTTTTGGTGGTTGAGATGGAGAAGAGGGAAAAAAGGAAAGAGGTCGAGGCACCGGGATTCCGAAAATAATATGGCTCCCTCACTCGCCCCATCCTAGGTGTGGAGCACCCAATCGAACTTTTTTTTTTTTTTTTGGTGGGCTGCGGCTGCGGCTGCTGCTGGCCTGCTGCCGTTTATCGCCCAAACTTTTTTCTCCATCTCCAAGTTTCCCGTTTTGGTGGGGTCTCAAGGTGTGAGAATATGGCATTGTCTGGTTCGCTTAGAGTGGGTAGCGAGACCGCGCTAATCTGATTCCGGCGCGCCGTCACCGCCTTTTCACGGTCTGTTACCCCCTGGCGCTCCTACGAAATGCCTTGTAGGCGCTGAGAAGCCGCTGGAGATACGGCTTGTTTTAGTGGACAGGATCAATGAACTGTGGAGGAAAGGACCCTGTGTGGAAGGGCTAAGGTGCTGCGGAATGTACACAGCAAGGTAGCAACTGCAAGTCAACCGCCCCTCGTCGTCTCGAACCTGGCAGGCCCGCAAGCGCGGTAGCAACGTCGACCTAAGGTACCTCATCAAACGATTTCTGCCCCTCCCTCGAGCTGTGTCACCTCACTCTTTCGTCTTTCAAGGTCCTCATTTAGAGACGCAGTGTCCCAGATAGCTTTTGACCCCTCCATCTGTCGTCACCCGTCAGGTTGGTCTAGATCCAGACGGAGACAGGCTGATCCTGCCTCCATTGTGGCAGATCCAATGTCTCATGCTTCCCCTTGACCCGCAGAGCACCTCTTGGGCGATGGACTTTCCCAGTACCTAGATGTGTTATCGTCTTGATGATCCAACAGGTTGACCAGAGCAAAGCAGGGAGGTGGCCATCTACCATCGTGCACCGCACTGCACTGTAGACTCCTCCTCCATGGATGGCGGCAAGTCCAGGCGCCAACTGGGGCAATCTACACCAAAAATGCCCAAGATGGAGAGAGGCGCAGCTGCGGCCTTGCAGATTGTGCATTATGGACCCCATAGAGTCAAGCTTCTGAGTCCAGGCTCTTCGTTACTAGGTATTTCTCTCACTTATTAACCCCGCCACTGGCCACATCTCCAGAATCCCTTGTACAAACCACAAAGTATTAGCTCGGGACTTGGCCCACTGCTTGCCTGCACAAGGATACGACGTCCAACATGCGTATTAGGTAGGCGGTCTCCTGATTCGCCTCGGTTCGCAAGCTCGTCTGTTCGAGGGGCAGCGCCGAGGGGCAATCGAGGGGCCAACTCATCGGTCTGCGTCTCAATGCAAACGACTACATGAGCACACCGTAGTTTGAGTCATCCCAATCCTTCATTGGCATCCAGTTGCTCTGTTTGAGAATCGTTGAGTCACTCATTGACTCCCGTGGGCAACATAAAATCTTTGCATAAGGTACGTGTGCAGTATAAGGAAGGACTCCAAGTGTCGTCCGGGCTACGTAGCCTTTGGAGCATTCAAATGGTGAATAACCAATTAAAAAGAAAAGAGGAAAAAAAAAGGAAAAAAAAGGGGGACTAAAGCTTCGGCACGGGCGGGGCCAAGGCTACCTTAGATTCTCGGATATTCGGTGCTGGCCGTAGTATAGGTAGGTATTCGTGAGTTTGCAAGTTTGCAACCCAATCCAACCACAATCCATCCAAAGGGCCTCTAGTCCAAAATTTCAACCAGTCATGCGGGAGGAATTGGGATCAGCCTTGGACGGCACTGGCCCGCGTTGCCTGGCTTCTTGTCGTTCATGACTCACTGACAGCAATTGAGGGGTTGACGAGCCGGGTGATGCCTGTGCAGCCCTCAAACGTTTGACAATGAGCCTCAGCAAAAACTCTGATTTAGGTAGAGCCAGTGTGGAACTCTGTGAAAGGGGAGGGGAGCTGACATAGGTCCTCTCCCGTCGACACAAGCACCACCAACAACTGCAGAGGAAGATGGAGAATGCTGCCACGCTCAGGAACAAAGACACGCGATTGCCTGACCAGTCGGGCCGTAGTGTAGTGCCGCTGTTGACATTTGGTAGACATCACTTACTTACCTGCGTGAGCAAAAGGAGGAGAACTGAAGTCGGACCGGAGTCTGAAGAATTCCTCCCCCCTTCGGTCGGACCCGGCGCCTACCTTGAGGAACGTGTCCGTACCTTACCTTACCTAAGGCACCTAAGAACGGGCACGGGACCCACTGGAGACAGTGTGTCAGCGGGGAGCACCGTGCCAAAAAATGTTGGCGGGGATAAGATCAGATTCCTGCCAGGGGCTTAAGGATCCACGTCCCCAGTGCCAGCTGCTTACCTCAGCAGACGAGCCAGGCTGGCTTATCTTATCGCGTTGCCTGGCCATTGCAGTAAACAAGGATTGTATGCCTTTGCCCCATCTTCATCTTTCGCGACCCGGACGACCCAACTCAAGGTATTCGACCTCGACGAAGAGCAGCAGCAGCACGACAATCGCCTCTCCCTGTGCGTAACTTATCGCCAATCTTCTCGATTAGAAGTCTGCGAACCTTCAGAAAGAAAGTAAATGATGGATTCCTCAATACCACAAAAGTCTTCCGCAAACCTCTTCCAGGTGTATTTACGCTTGAGACCACCCCCAGCTGGCGCAGCTTTGTCTGACAGATTCGTCGATGTCGAAGAGTCCCGCGAGGACTCGCACCCGACTCACATCACCCTGAATCCTCCCAATGACCGCAAGCGATCAACAGAAAAGTTTGCCTTCACCAGAGTCTTCGAGGAAGATGCCACCCAGCTCGACGTCTTCCATTGCACAGGAGTCGCCTCGCTCGTCGAGGGTGTCTTGGCCCCTCATGGTGGACATGGCACTGATGCTCTGATAGCCACACTGGGCGTCACTGGATCTGGAAAGGTAGTCTGGATCTCTGTTCCAAATTTTGTCTTAAAAATGCTTTTGCTAACAAACTATGCAGTCACACACCATTCTTGGCTCGCGCTCAACGCGAGGCATGACACAGCTCGCACTCGACGTTGTCTTCAGATCCATTGGCTGCAACATGTACGATTCACCTAGTTTGGAAGGCTCTCTCCAAGCCTCGGATGCCTCGGACGCAACAATCATATCGGCAGCGTGTTTTCTAGAGACCGTGTTCGCAGATTTCGGCTCATCCCGAGGAGGAGGATCAAGAGCGGGAACACCGATGCTTGTAGGAACCCCCGTCCTTTCCCTCGACTTTCCCTTCCAGTCTTTTGCACACAACCAAAGGCAGAAACGAACCCAGCCACCCGTCGACGTGGCAGGCGTGCGCCTTGTGTCGTTGACCCCAGATGATCCGCGGCGCAAGCCTCGCGATGGCTTTTCCACGCCAGTGCGGGAAGAGTTCATAGTCCACCAAGTTGCCACTGAGAAGCATTTCATGGCTGTGACCAAAGCTTCCAAAGTAAAGAACACAGCTAAATATTTAGTAAAGGGCGAACACTGTCCCCCTCCTACCCCTCGACGAGTCCTCCAGCGACCATCGGCTCTCCCTTCAGCCCCAGATATTAGCTCTGTCAACGTGTCTTCTGATCCCGAATCAGACTATGCCGTTGTTTTGTCCATGTACGAGGTATACAACGACAAGATCTACGATCTCCTGACCCCACCCATCAAGTCCAATGCTACGAAAGAATACCGACGTCGGCCGCTGCTCTTCAAGTCGACCGAGCAGTCCTCGGACAGGAAGGTTGTGGCCGGGCTGAAGAAAATCGCGTGCACTAACATGCGAGACGCTATCATGGTGCTGGAAGCAGGCTTGCATGAGCGTCAAGTTGCTGGAACTGGCAGCAACAGCGTCTCCTCCCGCAGCCATGGGTTCTTCTGCGTTGAGGTGAAGAAAAGAGTCAGAGTAGGGCGGCATCGGTCTTGGGCTGGCAACACTCTGACCATTGTCGACTTGGCTGGTAGCGAGCGTGCACGAGATGCCAAGACACAAGGCGCAACTCTCGCAGAAGCCGGAAAGATCAACGAGAGTCTGATGTATCTCGGTCAGTGTCTCCAAGCGCAGAGCGGTATGGGCAACAGCGGCAAGGTACGTCAAGTCGTACGCAAATCGTCCGTTATTGAGACTCTCATGTTAATTGACTCAGCCAACTGTCATGCCATTCCGGCAATGCAAGATGACCGAGCTTTTGTTCTCCAATTCCTTTTCGGCATCCTCTTCATCATCTGCGGGTGTTGTGCCCCGCCGGAATGCTCAGCGAGGCATCATGATTGTCACTGCCGATGCACACGGCGACGCAAACGCGACGTCGCAAATACTTAGGTATAGTGCTCTTGCGAGAGAAGTTACGGTCCCCCGCATTCCCAGCATTACGTCGACCATTCTGGCCGACACGACTTCATCGCACCCATCGTCGGGACTGAGATCCCCCGACCTGCCTCCACAACGCCGAGGCTACTTCGGCCATGGGTCATCCGGACAGCGCAACTTTTCTCCGAATTCCGATAATGGAGACAGAGTTCTCATGGAGCATGCGGCGCTGGAGATTGCTCGGATGCAGGAGGAGATCACCAATCTCCACATCGAGCTGGACAACGAACGTGAAGTGAGAGTGTCCGCCGAAGCACATCTTCTCAGCATGGAAGATAGGCTTTTGGAGCTGGAGCAGACAGTGCGCGAGGATTGCATGGCCGAATTCGACGCTCGCTTTGAGTTGGAGCTGGCCCGTTGGAAAGCAACTCTGGCTGCAGAGCAAGAGAAGGGCGAGGAACACTGGGACCGCAAAATGGAGCTTTTCGAAAAGGGTCTTGGTTTAACGATCGACGACGACGCTGGCGAGGACAAGGAAAACTTGCTTGTTGAGGACCTCGAAGATGAGAACGAAAGACTCCGGCGCGAGAACGAGATTTTGAAGCGTGAGCTAGCGCAAAGAAGCCCGAGCAAGCGGAAGCCGCTCCAGGAGCGTGAAGACTTTGGTAGCCGGAAAGGCGGCGCTCCCGGCGTTAGCAATCTGGGCCGAAAGATGGAGCAACTACGCGTTAGCAATGAAAGTACAGGCGGCAGCTCGGGAAGCCCCAAGAAGATGCGAAAGCTTGCGACGAAGCGATGGGAGACGGTTGCTGACGATGAGTTCTGATTGCCTGCTGTACGCAAAGTCTCTGGGAGTTGTCTGCGACGGTGGTTGCGCCGGTGGTTGCGCTTGTTTCTCGGCATATACCCATTTTGGACCATTCACTCTTTTTCTTTTTCTTTTTCTTTTTCTTGGGGGGCAGGATTTGCGGTGTTCTCGGGACAGGAGTTCGATATTGCAACGAGTCTGAAGAAAAGATGGCAGCTTTGATACACTGATTCACATGTTCTCTACACTACTTTTCAGCCGTCCTCTCCGCGACGTATGTCGTCAAGTCTGCCTGCTGCCGCAGAGCGAGACTGTCTATTGTGCGATCTTTTTCACATGAAAACCACTTTCCACACCCACTTCATCTTCATCAAATCCCCTTTCCTTGAAAACCGAAAACAGATCTGCAGCATTTTTGCCAAACCTAACCTCCGTTCGATCTTCAACAGCAATCATTAGCTGTCTCACGAAATGAGAAACACCGCAAACTCCAAAAGATAGAGACAAATCTAGCCCTCCTCTGCATCCATGTCGTCATGACGCCGCTTGCCCTTGCCCTTCTTTCCACCCTTCAGAGTTGAGCCCTTCTTGCCCTGGTTCTCCATCAAATTCTTCATTTCCATTCTCGCGTGCCTTTGTGCTTCTTCAACGCGGCTCTGGAACACCATGACCTCGTCCTTCTGCGTGGGGTACTCGGTGAGTTTCTTCCCGAGGGCAGCCTCGATTCGCAGGTAAATTTCGAGGTCGTATTGTGTGACCAGACTGATGGCAATTCCTGACTTTCCGGCACGTGCAGTGCGACCGATTCGATGAATCCTAACATGTTTAGCCACGACACATCATTATTGGGTGCTCAGAAGCACACGACTTACATGGTCTTGCTGTCCTGCGGCAAGTCATGATTTATGACAATGTCAACGAGCGGAATGTCGAGACCTCTGGCGGCGACATCCTAACACCCATTAGCCTTGCTGTAAAGAAAGGTGGCGTGGTTTAAGCCATTTACTTACCGTAGCTACAAGGATTTGGCGAGTTCCCTCACGGAACCGGGAAAGCGCACCGAGACGGGCAGTCTGGTTGAGCTGTCCATGCAGAGGGATGGCAGAGAATCCTAATGCTCGCAGCAAAATCGACAAACGTTGCACTTCCGCAACAGTGCGGGCAAAGATGATGATGCGCTTGCCGGCGAACTCATTTCCAAGATAGACCAAGTAGGTGTCCTTCTGCGTATGGGGAACAAAGCAGTAATGTTGGATCAATCCCTTGACTGTTTGGTATTTGTTGGAGCTGATGCTGACGCGGACTGGGTCTCTCAAACTGGCCCGCGACAGGCTTTCAATCTTTGTGCTCATCGTAGCAGAAAAGAGAAAGGTTCGGCGTTCACGTGGGAGGAACTTGAGGAGAGAAGTGATGGCTGGGCCGAAGTCCATGTCCAGGAGTCTGTCGGCCTCGTCCATAACCAGGTACTTCAGTGAACGCAAGGAGAAGCCCTTGGTTTTCTCAAGGTGATCAACTAGGCGTCCGGGGGTGGCAACGAGGATGTGGGGGCGCTTTCCTAGAGCAATGGCTTGAGAAACCTGTGGTTCGAGCTGTTAGCATTCTCTGGGACAGGGAAAGCAGCAAGGGGGCTGACTCAACGAAGTCGAGACCGCCAACAATCACGGCGCATCGCAAGTTGATGAGGCTACCAAGTGCCTCGAACTGTGCGCCAATCTGTGCTGCCAGCTCTCTTGTTGGTGCGAGAACAAGTCCGAAGAATGGTTGAGGTTTCTCTAAAAGCGCCTGAATTACGGGGAGTGCGAACTATACATGGTAGTTAGCAGCTGTGTCGGGCAGCAACGTAGTCGCTAGGTCAGTGATAAGAAGAGAAAATCAGTAATGGTGCAGGGGGAAAGCGTCTGCTCGATGCTACGTTGCTGCTGCAAGATTGAAGAGCAGATGGCAACACAGGTCCAGGAATACAATTGCAAAGCCTCCGACTAGCACAGAACCAGTGGGAAAGCCTGCGACCTTGGCTTAGACCGACTGTGTTTGAAGTGGGAAGAGGTTTGAATAGATGCAGATTTGCTAAAAGAACCGGAAGGTCTTTTGTTATGGTAGCTGTGAAAGTGCATAGCCATCGGAGGTTCCCAATGACCGTCCCAGAAGAGTCTTGGACACTTGGCCAAGCCTTCAGATTCGTAAAGACACTTTTGCTCAGCTCGTTTGGTGTTGTTCTAAGGCGGACTGGAAATAGATATAAGCAAGGAAACAGTTGACTGACAGCCGCCGTCTTTCCTGAACCTGTCTCGGCCAGACCAATAATGTCGCGATTCGCAAGGGCGTGAGGTATCGACTGAGCCTGAATAGGCGTGGGCTTCTTGTACCCGAGAGCTTCGCATGCTTCGCAGAGAGACTCGACGACGCCCTGGAATATTGTGATCAGAGACTATCGTGGGCCAAAATAGGGGTCTTTGGAGAAGATTTACCAATTCCTTGAAGGTCTTGGTCACTTCCTCAGTGGCATCAGCAGTGACGTCGGCGTCGGCATCAGCGTCGGCATCAGCATCGGCATCACCATCGGCATCGTCTTCGACTTCGGATTCAGATCCGGCGGATGGAGTCGGAGAGGGTTCTTTCTCGACTCTGTGAGACTCTTTGAGAGACGAGACCTTTTGCGACACTTTTTGCCGTTTCGAGGAAGGCATTTTTGGCGTCGAGGAGGGCATTTCCGTTGTGAATAGCTCGCTGTGCGATGCGGCGCAAAGAGAAGTCTATTGTAGACAGCTGGGTGCAAAAAGTCAGCAGTGGGCGCGATGACATCCCACGTTCTGGGAAGTTTTTAGTGGAGACCAGGTTTTATCAGCACGTGAAGGCTGTTTTTGGTTCTTATCGTAGCGGCCCCGCCAAAAAATTTCCTGCAGGCGACCAAAGCATTCAGTCTCGTTCAGGCCCAGATCTCCCGGGTTGCGGACTCAGGATCCTCGACAACTATCGACGTCAAGGTTTTCCAACCAAGTCAATCCCCGCCCCAACCTGCCAAACATGGCGCGCAAAAGAGTCAAGAAGCGTACGCACGTCGGTGCAAGCAACCCGGCCACCGTCGGCGAAAACAATGGCGCAAAGGATCCCAAGAGCATGGTCATCCGCATCGGCGCGGGTGAGGTTGGCTCCAGTGTGAGCCAGCTTGCTGCCGATTTTCGAAAGGTCATGGAGCCAGGAACTGCCAGTCGAATGAAGGAGAGAAGGGCAAACCGTTTGAAGGACTACGTTGTCATGACTGGCCCCCTCGGCGTCACTCACCTGATGCTCTTTTCGCGATCAGAGAGCGGTAACACCAACCTGCGCGTGGCCCTCACACCTCGAGGCCCGACACTGAACTTCCGAGTCGAGAAATACTCTCTTTGCAAGGACGTGCAGAAGGCCCAGAGACGTCCCAAGGGTAGTGGCAAAGAGCAAATCGCTCCGCCATTGGTACGAGATCAATTGCCCTAACCACTTGCATTTCTGCTAACTAATTCTAGCTGGTCATGAACAACTTCCATACCCCCGATGCCGACGCAACGTCCAAGGTGCCTAAACATCTTGAAACCTTGGTGACCTCGGTATGGTCCAGTGTTTTCCCTCCGCTGAACCCCAACGCGACGCCCCTGAGCAAGATCAAGCGTACATTACTGCTCAACCGCGAGAAAGACCCGGAAAACGAGGGATCCTTCATCATCAACATGCGACACTACGCCATCACCACACGTTCGACAGGAATCTCGCGACCGCTTCGGAGACTCGAAAAAGCAGAGAAGCTGTTGGCCTCAAAGACGAACGGAAAAGGAGGCGTGCCGAACCTGGGAAAGCTGGAAGACATAGCCGACTTCCTTCAGGGAGGAGAGAACGGGGATGGGTATCTTACGGATGCTACCAGCGGGAGTGAGCTCGACAGTGACGCCGAGGTGGAGGTCAAGGAGCAGAAGGCCCAAAAGATCAGGAAAAGCGCTGCCCCTGTTGATGACGACATGGCCGATGAGGATGATGCTGTCGAAAAGCGCGCGGTTAAGCTCGTCGAGCTGGGACCTCGCATGCGCCTGCGTCTGACCAAAGTTGAGGAAGGATTGTGTTCTGGCAAGGTCATGTGGCACGAGTATGTCCACAAGTCCAAGGAAGAGGTCAAGGAGTTAGAGAAGCGATGGGAGCAGAGACAGAAGGAGAAGGAGGCCAGGCGAAAGCAACAAAAGGAGAACGTCGACAAGAAGCGGAAAGCTAATGCTGAGAAAGGCAAGGAAGCTGATGACAGTGATGTGGACATGGACTATGACGATGAGTTTGATAGCGAGGGTCTGGCGGGTGATGCTGAATACCAGGTCAATGAGGCCATGGAGGATACAGGTGAGTGGGAGAACGAGGAAGATGAGATTGCCAACGGCTGAAAACTGCGTAAAGCATAGCCTTTAAGTCACCTTAAAATTTCCCCGAAAGGGACATTTTTCATCACTTCCGAGTTCAGTGATTCAGATTCCAGAAGTGAACGCGCGAAGAAACGTATCTTGTTAGGACCGGGCAATTAAACCGAACTTCCGAGAGGGTGACGGATTCGTCATGGCTTCCCAGGCTTGATGGTTTTCATTCTTGCTCTATGCTCTGAGTTGAGTTTTTCAGCGTCTCGCATAGAGACGTCTTCGGCGACTGTTTTATGCTACCGAGCCCACCCTGTTGACATCAGGATAGAGGTCTTTTTAGCCACTCTCTTCATGTTCGAGAAGGAACAGATCAAAGAGCTGTTGAAGCTCCAAAGAGATTGAAACCACGGCATCCGCCGCCCCAGGTATGGAGGTCAGCTCTATACCGCTTTCCCACAACCTGCAAGCAAAAGCAACTTCGTTATCTCGGAAAGGCTCCGCTGCCCCTGTGTCAACGTAGGGTGACGGCAAGTCAGAAAGGTCCATGGCTCGACCGAGTGCCACGTAAGGGCTCACGCCGTCGATGCCCATCTTCCCTCCCAAAATACTCAACCACGCATATCTACCCCAAGATGTGCAGAAGCCGCGTGCGTTTTAGAATTGGTATGCTGAGGCTGTTCTCATCAGATTATCGAGCACTGGACATACGAGAAGCTGAGCACAAAGCGCCGGTCCGATCCGATCACGAGCGAGCAGTGCTATCCCAGCTGCGAGGCCCTTACCTGCCGATACACTCGCATCCATGAGGCGGTTCGGATCAAGGTCAAACCCATTGAAGTGGCCAGCGACCTAAACAAGAGAAGCATAGTAGTACTCCGCATTTGCTGACCCAAGTTGTCCTGGCGCCAAGCGATATTCGACACTGAAAACGACAGCGTCGACGGTCCTTCACGGCGTCGGGACAAGCAGCCAGATCGAAGTAAGGCGTGACCCTGACCATGCCGCCGCCGTGATAGAAGATAATACCTGGTTTCAATTCGTCGGGCTGCGTTAATAGTCTTTGGACGCAACACAATGACTGGCATGTCGCTCAACGGTTAAGGAACCCAGACTTCGTCAACTCGAATGGCTGGGTCTGACCAAATAGCATCGATGTGTGTTTATTGACCTGTTGTCTTGGCAAATTAGAAGGAGCTGTTCAAGAGTGGACGGAAAGGGTAGCCGTTGCTCACGAGGAAACGTTTCCAGCAATTCAGGATCGCAGGGGAGAGAATGGGAGGCGATTTGACTCGTTTAAGAAGTGATAATGCTGACATCTAATCAAGGCCGATCTTCGAAAGATAGATTGAGGTGATTTATTGGGGAACATAGACCTTGAGTCTGTTGTTGTTGACCTCCAGGCGATTGGAGATCAGTGAGTCGTAAGTGTCGTGTAGAAATGGATACTCTTCGTAAACCCGGCCTTATCTCGTTGGTTTAACAAATCGGACAATCACCTCAATTCTGGACTTATAAATCAAGATCTAGGTCGACTTAAGCACGTGTATTCGCGCTCTCTCCGCGCTGGCTTTCAAGGGCTCGCAGAGGACACCTCCTCTTCCTTGCAGACAGACACTCCAACTTCATGTGGGTCTCCCGGCTCTTCCAGGTCTGTTCCATAGTGAACCATCTTACCACAGCTATCATGCCCGCTGATGATGCATATAAAGGACCGTTATGGGCACGATTCATTGCCAATTTGAGATTATGTTTCAATTGAGAGTGATTCCAGCTTGCTCGACTATCGTTGTCGATAGTAGCATCTGGCGTGCTACCTAATGATAAGGATTCGTCCAGCCAGCGAAACCAATGCTGAAAGAAGTTCGTACCTCCTTAATCTCTGTGTCCTTCTGTCGCCGTCCCTGCGGAATTCAAAGCCTTGATCATATCCCAGTCAATGTTCGGCCCTTTGAAATTTTTGCGTCCATCCAAAACCCAGAACAGAAGCACAATGCTTAGGAGGCCAACCAAAACAACACTGGTATAGTTCATGGATCCAGCTGTCACCGGCAAGATTGGTGGCATGCAAATGAATGCTCCCAGAACTACAATCCACAGAACAGAAAACATATTGCAAATATACCCAAACCAGCCCAAGTTGAGATAGCGAGGTGGAAGAGAGTTGTTCCGGCCCTGAACTAGAAGAATTCCTTGCGGTACCACGTAAGTGATATTCAGGAAGAGAACTGCCGAAGTAACAATAGAGTTGAAAGCTGTCGTTGAAGCCAAATATAACAACCCGTAAAGACAGGCAAAAGTGTAGGACGCGATGGTTGCCCTCAGAGGCAGCTTCCGCTTTTCGTCAATCTTTGAGAAATACCCTGAGAAGGGTACTCCGTACTGGAAAGTTAATCAGTCATTGCCGCTGGAGTTAGGAGAAGACCTACATCACGAGCAAATGCCCATGCTAGCCGGCCACCGGTTACCCATTGAGATGGAATGCAGACTAAAATGAGTTAAATCTAGACCGGCATTGGTAGGTTAGAGGACCAATAAGCTTGAAACAGACCTAGATATATAAGCAAAATGTAGGCGAAAAGGAATAGAGTAACATCGTCGTTACCAGTCCTGGTAAAATTCATCAGATGTTGTTCCCTGATGTAGGACCAGGGAGGAACTGACGCTTGATTGATCAGCTCCAAGCTTGGGAGTCGGGCCGAAGTGACGGCGTTCAGGTCAGTCATGAAGAACATCAATGCTAAAAACAATGGAAAGGCTGTGCCTAATCCAATGAGAATGGTAAGCATCATGACCTGAGGAACTCTCCGCCCAGGTTGTGATGTCTCTTCGCTGATATGGATCGCTTTTTCGAGATTAGCAAGGGCGTATACTTGACCAAACATCCACAAAATGGCTACATACCCCCATCTGTCCCACCGAAAGCGTACATGGCATTGGTAATTCCTAGGATCCAGGCAACGCTTGGTGACCAACCGCTAGACCCGAGTCCAGAATGCACGATGAACGATGCGGGCATAGTGTGTTTATGCATGCCTGCGCTTACAAGTAGAACGATAAAGAAGCCGATTAAGGAGGAATAGAGCGATGTTTGAACGATCAAGGTAATTCTCTTCGACGAGAAGACCACCGGAAGCACTTTGAGTTGTTTGTCAGTATCGGGTGCCTCAAGAATGAATTAGAGACAGAAAAAAAGGGCCTCACTTGTTATGGTTGCCGTTGCACAATAAATAAGATAGATCTGCCACTGAGTCCCTTCGAAAGCTGGATGCCAGAAGCCAATCATGCCTGACAAGGTGGCTGCGAACAGAGATGTCCCAGAGCACCTATCAGTCGTGACATCAGCTTTGTCAGGGCCAAATGAAGAAATAACTAAAAGTGAACTGACGTGACTATCCACCAAGCCAGTGTTGACATCCATCCAACCAAATATCCCGTGAATCGTCTCGTGTTCGCAGGTGCCATGATATAGCAGAAATGGTATTGACCACCGCTTGACTGGAATCGCAGGATGATTAGTCTAACGCCAATTTGTGTGCTTGAGGGGCGTATGATGCCGCATCCGACTCACAGGAAAGGCCGAAGCAATTTCACTCAGACCAAGTGAGATGATGAACTGGGCCACGAAGGCAGCCAAGAGACCGAACAAGCAAGATTGTGGCCCTCCGTAAACCAGATTTTGTCCGAAGTTGCTCTGCCATAGTTAGCAGTTGGTTAGGTTTTCTCATAAAGATGTTGAACAACGTACTAGGTATCCAACCCATGAGTTGGTTATGGAGAATCCCAGACCCAGAGCTGACATCCAGCTGAACTGGCGCTGCATGGCCGATTCATGGCCATTGGCTCTAAGAATGACATCGTCAAGGTCGATTGGGCCACCGAATGTGCCATTGGCGATACTGCCTTGGTCTTGTGATGTGAAGGGGCGAAGGGAAGTTTTGGTATCCGTCGCTGGTTTGGTGAGATCTTTCTCTAAAATCACAAATGCCTCGGGATGGGCGGCATCCATTCTGCTGCGGTATACAGATCGAAAATTTCGGAACGGGCTCTATCTTCAATGATCACACGGAAAAGCAGAACAGACCTGGGGTCTTTGCTATTATCCGCCGAATTTGCAATCATATTCTAAGGTTTTATACTGTTAATGGTATTTGCCATGTGAATACCACACTTTTCATGTTACAATGGAACAGTGACATCCCGCCTATCTCGATCCAGCTAAAATTCTTATCTGGAGTCCAGTAGTAGAAGATGGTGTCACTCATTGCATGGATGCGGAGGTGCGTTATCAAGGCGAATGGCGACGTGAACATACTCGCAATATCTTCAGGCAGCCGGCCGCCCGAAACGTTTGCCCAAACCCCGCATTGTGGCCCATCCCCGGATTCTCAATTTCCAACGGAGCGCGTATTGGCTTGATGCAGGTTGCGTATACCGCAACATTGCATCAGAGCCTTGGCGGCCATTTTGACCGGGTTGCTAGATGTGGTATCAAAGTGCGCTAGGTTACTATCATCATGTGGCATACAAATCGCCACGTTGACCCATCCTCGACAGCAAAAGTTGCAGTTTGCAAAGTCGGACGATGTTTGTCCTCTGTTCACCGGACCATGCGGACCTAGACCGGAGGTGTTGGATGCATCCAAGCCATGCATGAAAAGCGGACTGCTTATGGCTAATCTCATATGGACCCCACCCACTTCACGTCAGTGTGTTCTTGTTCCGTTTTGGGAAACATTCTCAACTACCGTACTCCAGATAAGGCATAAACTTCGCCCATCAACTTACTAGGTACTGTGCGGAGCAAGTAGCAAGCATAGCCCTGTGGCGACTATAACCCTACCTTACATGTCCAAGTAGCGTACGGACATGACATCGTGGGCGACACAGTCAACTTTATCAACCAATTTCTTGTTGCAAGTTCTCTGTGACCAAGGGCACACGCCTAGTGCATCCAATTTACCCTCTTCTCGAGCTACGGATCGTTTTTAGAGATTGATTTGAGCCACCCCAGTTTTGACTCACCTTCAGAATGTCCAACGTTAGTACGGAGTACAGTCCCGAGGTCCAGAAGGTCTCCGCAGACACTCCAGTGGACGACATCATTTACCTTCTCAAGCGTGACGGTGGCGTCTTTGTTAAAAGCCTCATTCCTGTCGCCGATGTCGACCGGGCTCATGAAGAATGTCGTGAGCGTCTTGAGAATGATGTGGAATGGAACGGCTCGTTCTTCCCAAGTACGTTTCGCCACGCCAGAGACTAATAATGATAGCCTGTTAAACTGGCTCGATCTGCTCTGCAAAGTGTGCTGATATAACTTTCTCACAGAGGAAACCCAGCGGGCGCCAGCCTTGTTGGCTCTTAGCCCAACGTATGCCAAAACGCAAGTCATGAACCCAGTTTACCAAAAGGTTTGTGAGCACTTTTTGACCACTCGAAACTGGTTCTGGTGGGGAAATGAGAAAAAGGAATCGGTATCGAAGCCATATGTTCATTCATGTACTGCTATGAGCATTGGGCCTGGTGGCAAAGCCCAGCCCTTGCACCGAGACGACTACATCAGCCATAACTATCACCAAGAAGTGAGTGAATGGGATGATGAACGGGATAAGAACCGAGAGACTGCTATTGGGCTCTTCGTGGCTGGCTGCAAAGTCACCAAGGAGAATGGTGGGACACAGTTCATCCCACGAAGCCACCTGTGGTAAGTTACATCCCATTCTACCTCGCCAATGTGTGCGCGGGAAGACTGTTCTATCAAATCTCGTTGACTGTGCCTGACTTTCGACCTCAAAATCAAATTGAGCTAATGTTATACTTTTCTGAAAGGGGCACTGATAGACATATGCCACCCCGAGTAGAGGAGTGTATATACGCCGAGATGGAGAAGGGTGATGCCTTCATCATGTTGGCCTCCGCGTTCCATGCCGGAGGTCACAACACAACAAAGGATGAGAGACGACTGGTGTTTGCAACATTCTCGATTCGAGGATATCTGCGACAGGAGGAGAACCAATTCTTGTCCGTGCCTCAGGAGACCGCTCAAAAGTTGGACCAACCCATTCAGGAATTCATGGGTTATTCGATGAGCGACCCGGCTTGTGGGTACGTTGACCAGATGGATCCAATCTTTGTACTCCGCCCCGAGTTGAAGGGTGACGGGCGTCCATCGGACTTCTAAGGTTGAAGGAGTGAATTGCAGTCGATTGGTACTTCTAATGGGAATTGGAAGCCTGGTTAGAATGATTGGACTGAAGGGTTTTTGGGCCTAGTCTGAATTTGGTGCTGCAACAGTGTAAGCACGTTGCTTAAGAACATGAAACTTGATATGATAAATTGTAAAAGTAAGGGAACAATAATGGTGCACCGCGGAAAACCCATCGTTTGTCGGTCTCAAGTGCTAAAGCGTTAGACTTGGTGTTTGAACAAGTGTTTGTCCTGATGCTCACTCATTGCTTGCATTTTCCGCGCTGTAGACGTCCGAAGATAGGACCCAAACAACAATTATCCCGCATTTAAACTTTTGAAATCTTGTTGATTGCCGCTTGGAACTTTTCCCTAGATGCTTCGACCAGCTTCATTATCCTAATGTTTACAACAATGAGTACGTCAGCGGCAAGTCCGCACGATTCAAAAACATCTTGAGGGGCAAAGACTTCCAGAAGTCTAACGTAGCCAAAGCTTCCCTGGAAAAGGTCGCGGGGAAAACAACGGGAAAAAAGCTAGGGAAGATCGTGGCTTGACTGATCATCAACGCCTCAATCCGTAGGGTGGCCTGACTGGTGGTCTGAGGCGCCAGGCTGGGGATAACACGCTGTCCAAATGCTAACGGTTTGCCGCCTCTAAGTAAGGTGGCTGTCACCGAGTCTCCGGCCCGGAATCAGATTCCTTTGCCATGACTCCACTAAGGAAGGCTGCTTACGATGCGCTGATTACGCTTAGCTACGTGCCCCTCCTCCCTACCTTAGCTTGTCAGCTGTACATCGCCCAAGTATCTTTAGACTTGAGCAACCCAACACCAAGAGCTCTCTGCTCAATTATTCCATCTTCCACTTGCTCCCAACCCTTGGTCGCGTAGCTGTGTGCGAAAATGGTGATCGTTCTCCACGAGGATTAAACCCGCGAAATACGGATGCAAAATGCGCGCCAACATCGCTATGGCGAGGGGCTCAAAAGCTGTCAGAAAAGGTCAGCCCATTTTCCCCTCTTCCTGCTCGGGACCTTTTACCAGAAATTGCACTACAAACCACTGAGTCCCTGCCCGAGTCTTATTGAGCCAAATTGGGAACAAGTCTCAGCTGCTTCACCACCAAGACACACTGTCACTCATGTCCTTACAGCGTGCCATCTGTTTCCCGATGTGCTTCAACTTGAACTTCAACGTCGCCTCTGACTATCAACAGATCCAGCGTGCGGCACCTGTCGAAAGAAGTGCCGCAAATGTGACCGCGCGCGCCCTATCTGCAATCGATGCAAGTCCAAGGGTTTACATTGTGAGGGATACCCCCCTCGATTTCAATTCTGCGAATCAATACAGACACCCAATTCGAAACCAGCCGGCGATGAGCAAGATCCAGAAGAGAACCAACAGCGTGCCGAGCCCGACGTCCTACCCACCAACGAGTTTACTCCGGCCCAGAATCAGCCTTCACCGGCACCGACTCAGACTTCACAGTCTTCTGATCACCCAAGCCAGGGTCGCCGCTTGCTTCAGACTTTGCCACAAGACGCGTCTCCAGCTTCGTCTCAGGATCGATCCCTTGGCGCCCCGTCGCCGGCAACTATCATCGGGTATCCTGTCGACGATCTTCTTCTCACAGGCAATAGCCAAAAATTGCTTGTTTACTGTAAGTTGGTCATGGGGCCATTCATAATCTCCATGTCCTCTCGGCCGGTGTGACATCATAGCCTCTGACGACCAGACGCAGTTGACAGTGAACTGAGCCCTCATTTGACAATTGTAATTGATGGCCTGGATAACCCATTCCGCGTCCACATCTTACCGTTGGCCTACTACCATACGGGTGTTCTCAATGCAGTTCTGGGGCTTACCTCGTGCCATCTGCACTTATCACCGTCGGGGGCCAACCAGGTTGACATGGCCACTGCTCTGCAACATCGTGTTGCTGCGTTGAATGGTCTTAGCTCGCTCTTAATCAAAGAGGAGATTTATGGACTTACAGAGGCCGAAGATGAGGCTGTTCTAGCCATCATCTTTCTGCTGGTTCTTCACGATGTAAGGTTCATCTCAAGCCTTTTCATGAGACAAGTCCGGTTGGCTAAGCAATGACACGCGCAGATTTGCGAGTTGGGAATATCTGCCCATGCCGTTCATCTAAATGGTGTCTCATTCCTCTGCGGAAGAATTGCGTCCCATTCGGCAGGGATGGAGCGGTCTGCAGCAACCATATTCTTCCTGTCTGCGTTGTCATGGCAAGTTGAATCCGCATTATCGCTTCCGATAACTCACTAATAGCGACTGTGATGATCAGGCTGGACGTCCTGAGAGGCTTTAGTGGTGCTGAAAAGCTCACGTACTCTGAAGATGTCCGCCAATGTGTTGCAAGCATTACCAGCCCACATGCAGCCCTGCACACTTTAGTTGGCTGTCCCGCAGTAATATTCCTTAGGATTGGGGACGTGATAGCATCAGCTAAGCATCATATGCAAGGCAGACTATCTACCATCAATTTCCAGACCATTTTGGACGAGGCAGAGACCTTCTTCCGGGGCCTCGATCTAGATGCTATCCAATATCCCACACCACATTCCGAATGGAGACAACTTGCGGAGGCCTACCGGCATGCTTGTCTGCTGAGGACCATACGATGGCCTAACACATTCGCCATCTCCTGTGAGGACTCGAGAATTAAATCATCAGTATCGGCGATTTTGGATTGCTGTGCAAATGTTGCGATGGGATCACCATTTTACAAGCGGTTATTATTCCCTCTCTTTCTCGCAGCAACCGAGACCTCTGAAAGTCATCAAATACATTATGCTAGTCTTTGTATCGAAAACATTCGGCGTTCCACGGGATTTCAACATAAAGCCATGATGGAAGTTCTTGACGGGGTATGGGAGGAAAGAAGACTGAAGACTCGAGGATGGACCAATGTTCCCTGGATGGAATTTGTAAGGCCAACCTGCAGCGTTGTTGGATTCGAGACATTGTACTAACTTACCTACAGACTTGCTCTGAGAGTATTCAGCAACAACATGCCTACCTTTTCTTCTAAAGCAACTTGTACTGGCGCAGATGGATCAGAGTATAAACTAAGGGTAATGGATGATATTATGAGGTAAATGATCACCAATTCCAGGCATTTCTGTTCTGGACTTTCAAAATTGCGGCGTGGAAATATACCGTCGCAAGTAGCCCTCTCGGTTCTAAGACCTATTGTCTCACCCTATATAGTAGATAATAGACACAATGCATTTCGCTCCTTTCCTCGTATGAAGGCATCTGTAGACGAAACGATGAACCGAAATTTCGGGCCGCATAGCTTGCTAAGCTACAGGATAGCAGGCGGCGGCGTGGTTGTAGGCTACAATTGGAATACCTAGCCACCTTGCGCCAATGTCGGAGAGTCGCTCTGATAGATCAACACTAGTCGAAACGACGTGCCATGCAGTCTCGCCTTCAGTTTGATACCTGTAAACGCATTGCAAGATCTCATGTAAAAAGTGTACCTCTAGCCTAGTTGTACAATCCCCCATTTGCACAAAGGACGGAACCGGTAGTCCAAGCAGCATCGCTGCTACACAAGAATGCAACGAGAGGTGCAACATCATCCACTTCTCCGATTCTCGCCGCAGCTGGTGTAGACTCAATCAAGGGCTCCATGTCTTTTCTGAATTGGTCGTCGCTTTCGTTCCACTGGTCTAAATCACAAGTCAAGTTAGTCTTACTGCCAAGCCAATGCTGAATGCAAGATGCCTACCAGTGGCCACCGGGCCAGGATTGACGCAGTTGACGGTAATGCCATGTTTCTGACCAAGCTCTTTGGCCCAAACACGCGCAAGTGCCTCATCGGCTGCTTTCGTGGCAGCGTATACAGTTTGTCCAGCGACCCCGAGCCGAGCAGCTGCAGACGAAACAAAGACTATCCGACCGCCCTGGGGGATGTGCGGCACGGCAGCTTTGGTTAGGAAAATCGGTCCTTTGACATTTGTATCAAAATGGGTAAGGTACAAGTCTTCGGTGACTTCATCGAGATTGGCGTCAACACCCAAAGCCGCGCTGCGAGTGAAGTTGAACGAATTAGAATCGAGTGCTCGCCGGCCGTAATCGCGCAGAAGAAGCCACGACCGGGAACTGACTTATGGACCAAAATCTCAATTTTTCCGCTTCCGCTAAAGTTCAGCGTAGCATGAACTAGTTTAGAAATATCAGAAGGCTTTCCGATATCTGCCTGGAAAGCAAGGGCATTCGATCCGTGTTGCTGTATATCCTTGACTATGTCTTGGGCGCGCTGGTGACTGTTTTCTGTCACGTAGTTCACAACGACGTTGGCGCCTCGTCTCCCAAGTTGCTTTGCGATCGCGGCGCCAATACCTCTGCAAAATGACGAGTGTTAATCAAGTGTATCTAGCGAAGAAATAGACTGACTATGGAAGCACATTACTTACCGTGAGGCGCCGGTGACAATGGCTGTCTTGCCAGTAAGATCAACCCCATTGAAGTCAGGCATCGTCAGAATAAAATTGCTGCGAAGTAATGTACGTGTTGACAGAAATGGGCCCAAATTGAGTGCGGCTATCTAGCGAAGAAAATTTTGGGAAGTTGTAGAAGATATCTCCATCTCTAGGTTCTGTCCTTTATTAGATCGATTGTGGTCGCTGTGTAAATATTAGCTGGCATTGACTCGAGGTGGCCAAGTTATCTACCCCGCGTCTTGCAGTATTCCTTCGGATTGCTCACGCGGGCTCCATTTTGAATAGCTCAGCTGGCAGTTCTTCCTATCTAGGCCAACAGATACGCCTACATAGCCAGCAGCTAGCTGAGTTATTTTTTGCACGGCATTTTCCAAAGTGAATGATATTTCGTTTGGTTGGTGTAGATTCACTCATACGGTGACGTGCATAGATCCATCTTGTCCCCGTGTTTACGAAGTACATTGAAATACATGCATGGAGACGAGGCGCTGCCCCTCTTTCCTTTTTGGGAGACAGCGACCAGCTGCTGGAAATATGTCCTTTTCGGGAACGTGTAAGTCCTCAACACGGATCAAACGATTCCAACCTTCCAAGTTGTTGTCTTTGGTAACACCCAACCTCTTGCCCGAAGCAAATAGCGAGATTCACTCTAGGAAACAACGCAGTATTTGAATCTCGCATCGCCGCCAACTGGGATTATCAATTCTTCACTCTCAAACATTGCATATTACCTTCAGCGTCATTGAACTCTGTCACTATGGCCCAACACCCCCTTGATCCCCTTTCGGTCAACGAGGTGCACCAAGCAACCCGCGCTTTGTTGAAGGAACTGGAGTTACAGAGAGACCAGATCAGATTTAAAGTGGTCGATCTTGCTGAGCCTCCAAAAGACCAGACTTTGGATTATTTGCGGGAAAGCGGCCCTGTGCCTGATCGCAGAGCCAGGATTTATTATCAACGGAAGCACAAAGAGGTTATGAGCAGGGCAATTGTCAACATCACACGCGGAAATCTCGAGAAGACTGATGACTTACCGGATGCCCAGGGACCAGTGGATTGGGTTGAATATGAACTTATAACCACAGCTTGTAACGTTCATCCCGATGTCCTGGCCGAAGTTGACAAGCTTAAGATTCCCGAGGGGTGAGTCTCTGAATCCCCGAAAGGTCAAAGATTCTGAAAAGGCTGACACGACATGAATTAGAGCACGAATTCTCAATGACCCTTGGGCTTATGGCACCGATGATGCCAAGGAGAGACGCCGTCTTTTCCAATGCTACATGTATCTGGCCCTTGATGACGACGACGAAGCCAACCACTACTCTATTCCACTCCCACTAGCACCAATTTTCGATGCTCATACTCTTGAGCTTGTTGATCTTCAGAAACTACCTTTGGGGATCAATGACGAAATCGATGTCGAAACACGACCCTGGGTGCCGGTCAAGCCAGTCGAATACAGTGCAAACATTCTGGGTTCTGATAAACTCCGGAAAGATCTTAAACCATTACAAGTTGTTCAGCCAGAAGGTCCTTCATTCAATGTCAGCCACCGTACAGTTTCATGGCAGAAATGGCAATTCCAGCTTGGATGGTCTCTGCGCGAAGGCCCGGTCCTGCATTACATACGATACGATGGCCGGCCTCTGTTCTACCGTGTATCAATGAGTGAGATGACGGTGCCTTATGGCGATCCTCGAACTCCTTACCACAGAAAGCAAGCTTTCGACCTCGGCGACTCCGGCTTTGGTTTAACTTCCAACAGCTTGGCTCTTGGCTGTGACTGCTTGGGCCACATCGCCTACTTCGACGGCGTCCGAGTTTCAGCGACGGGAGATCCCATTATTATGTCGAATGTTGTCTGCATGCACGAAATAGACGATGGGATTGGCTGGAAACACTCAAACTTTCGCAACATGAAGTCTTCCGTGGTCCGAGACCGTAAGCTCGTTATTCAATGCACTTCCACAGTGGCTAACTATGAATACATCTTGGCCTTCGTTCTGGACCAAGCCGCGAATCTTCACATTGAAGTGCGAGCAACAGGCATTCTGTCCACCATGCCAATCCGTCCTGATCTCAAGGCATCGCCGTGGGGAACAGTCGTGGCACCGGGAGTCTTGGCGGTCAATCACCAACACCTCTTTTGTGTCCGAATAGATCCGATTCTCGACGGGGAGCGGAAGAATACAATCGTGTACGATGACTGTGTTCCTGTACGAGACGACCCAGAACTTGATCCTTACGGATGCGCATTTCGTCTCCAGACGACGCCAATTACATCACCTGGCGGCTACGACCTCGATCTGAACAAAGCTCGAACCTACAAAATCGTCAACCCATCTCGAGAAAACGAGGTATCGGGCAAGCTAGCTGGATACAAACTGCACGCTTCACCTAGCCAAATGCTGATGATGGGGCCCGGGACTCTCAATCATCGACGTGGAATCTTCGCGTCAAAACCAATCTGGGTCACTCGGTATCGGGACGACGAACTCTGGGCTGCTGGGGAGTTTACCAATCAAAGCCGAGAAGATACTGGTCTTGCGGAGTACGCCGCACGAACCGAGAATGTTGAGAGTGAAGATGTTGTTCTTTGGCACTCATTTGGTCTAACGCACGTCACACGCCCTGAAGGTACAAGAAAGCTATATTTCAGTCCCTGTTTCTGTTGAGGAACACTAACTTTATACCTAGATTTTCCTGTTATGCCAGTGGAGAAGTTGTCATGTACCCTGAAGCCAACGAGCTTCTTCAACCTCAACCCTTCCAATGATGTCCCTAGGTCCAACCAACACGATAACCAATCAAAGCTCCATTGTCAGAGTTCGGATGCTCCATTATGCTGCCAAGAGGAAGAAAAGTCACGTCTTTGATAGATCGCCCCGTTCCAGTGGACCAAAATGTACTATTCACTTGAATCTTGCCACAATAAATATCATACAATGGACGTGCGTCCTCAGGGCCATGTACAAGATCATTTCATTAGTGTCTTAGAAGTCTCATGATATAGATCCTTTAGGTATCTCCGGAAATGTTCTCTTACATGTCTTGAGCGAGTGCAAATAATCACATGGCAAATGATGCACCTAGTCTGTAATCTTTGGCGTTAAATTGTATAAGACCAAGCTGGCTAGTTCTTGATTGCACAACTAGCCCTTCTGAAGAGAATGCGACTAGATATCTGTCACAATAGTGTATATGGCATTAATTACTACCCGCCATCAACAGTGTCGGTTTTACGACAGTTATAAGTCTAGCTTTCCCGGTAGCCTAACTATACAAGTACAGCTTAATACAAGGACCCGTATCTAATTCCTCAGGTTTAAATCCTGCTGAAATAGGCGCATCGGGCCACCTAATAATAAGTAGAAGTGCCCCCAGTGGCCGCCCACAGAGGCTCAAAAGTGCTTACTATAGTACAGAACCCAACCCTCTACAGGGCCTAGGATCTAAAGGGGTTTGCCACAATGGTATATATGGCATTAATTGCTGCCCGCAATTAGCGACGTCGTTTTTGTGGCATAATATACTTTGGGATGTCCGGGTTCGTGTTTCAGAAAGCAAGTAGAAGACTGAGAGTAGTCAAGTAGAGGTTAGAAGCGTCCTCATAGCAAATGAAGTTCAATTCATCACCCATTATTGCTCATAAAGAGGGCCTTGGCCTTCAGCTGCGCAAGCAGCTTCATAGAACATTTCAATGGCGCCTAAAGCAATTCGAAGCTTCTGCATTGCTGAGGGGATTTCCGGCTCCATATTACGCGCAAGTTGAAGAGCGGTGTTGGTGGCAATCGAAACGGCGGCGAGGTCTCTGTTACCATATTTGTTCTCGCTCCAGAGCCGGAGAACATGTTCGCGATGCTGCCTGAGATTTTGAGGTACGCAGTGTATATGAATAGGGCTCCTGTGTCAGAGTCATCTTCCTCATCCAGAAATATTTTAAGAGTTTGAGCCTGGTGGTCAATGTCTGGGGTTGACAGGAAGCCCTCGGTAGGTTTGTAGACGTCCAACGTCGTAAACATATTTTTTGGTACGATCAGTATGCTTGGAACCGTCTATGAGGACTGTTTCAACCTCGCGGGCGGCGGTTTGCATAGCAGATGTGTCAAAGGCCTCTACCTGAGATTTGACGGCGTCGCGAACACGCTCGAGAACGGTGACAAATAAATCGTGTTCGTGTTCCCTTGGTAGTCCTTAAATCTCTAAATACCTCCCAACAAAGAGGGAAAGCACTTGCAAGTTGTCATGCCGCGGTCGAGGGCCGAAGTAAAAGAGTCTGTGACATTCAGGAATGGACAGCTTCCTCAGAGACGAAGTTGACCAGCGGCACGAAGCCCTTAATAATGATGACGGGTTTCGGTTTGGTCTCCTCTGGTGAATGGAATGGTCTGATGACCGGCTGTTTTTTCGGCTTCCTTCCAAACTTAACTTTCAACCTCCTAGACGTGAACATTGAATACGTAGCCTTGGTAGATGGCGGATTTAGGGGCTTCAAGTAGACAAAACTCATGGCGGTGGTGGCCAACTACGAAGCAACGACATCGGTGTCGCACTTGTATTGCTTGTAAGTTGAAAGAAAACCCGAAGAAAGCATGATGGGTGGCTATGAAACTGAGGACGACTATGAAACCAGCGAAAATACACCTAGTGAAGGATCAGAATGGTCTTTGATTCGGAAGCGGAAGCCTTAGATTGAAAAGATAGATAATAACCGAAAAAGCTATTTCAAGATACGACAATGAATTCAAGTACATGGTGGAGATAGGCAATCAATTGGCAGTAAGTCGAAGCTTTCGCCGCACACTCAGCAGTCCCTTGGCTGGAGCCAGCGGGTGGTCACATAATCCAGTGTATCCCGATAACAAAGAGCCCTTCTGTCGCTTACAGAGACTCTAAGTCACAAGCCATAGCAGGTACTATGGTTTATATTGCTCCGGGAAATTGACAGAAGCAGAGTTGAACTGTTGAGGGTTAGCCATGAACATTTGTTAGATACCAACTGATAATCAGAACCTACTACCAAATGCCTAGGTATTAGACGAGGATGTAAACCTGCGCCGTAGGGACAACCACAATATTCTGGCAAGTACTGTGGAACCTATGTAATTGCAAGCTGATCTGCAGCTGTCAAGCACCCATTAATTGTTATCCCCTTAGTTTACCGTAAGCAATTATGAATCTCTCAACCAAATTGATATATCGGGGAATGTATACTGGTGCTAAGCAATCTACATCTACATGGGTGTACCAAGCGCTTATTTCTCTAATTCTGTCTCAAAAAATCCAGCAACTGAAGTCGCCGTTCGGAAGACGAGGCTAACAGCGGATGTGGGTAATATTATCGAAAGCATCTGGTATGGTCATCAGGACACTGCATATAAATCAGCAGTTGCTATGTCTGTGGCTGCTGCGGTTGATTCTACTCTTATGCCCAACCGGGCGGCGTGGTCTCAACAGATGCTTTTGATTCTAGAAGAAATGAGCTCTCATGGAAGTAAAATTGCTAGAATGATTGTATCTAAACCAAGACAGCTAGATGGGTGTCATCATCTCTCTTGAAGAGCAGTTGAAGGAATCTCAAGCCAAGTTCACAGGCCGCAAGGTACTCTATCTACTGATGCCGCTGCATCGGATTCAACAACTCAGGTCCTGGACAAGACCTGATGATGGATGCCAAGCTTAGCACATACCTAATGATCGACATTGCTAATGCTCTGGATAGAGTTTGAGCTGGGAATTTCCCGCGACTGAATGGTAGGAGCCAGTGCCAGGCCAAGTAGGTCTAGGCGATATCTCACGTTTGCAGGGAAGAAAAGCAAGGCGGTTAGGGAGGCATTTGAAACAGGTTTTGCAAGCGGCAGGCTCTTTATGACTCATTTCCCACCTCAAGATGCCTCTGCTGGCGCACCAAGATGATCCACGAGGATCAAGATTCATTCCTCTTCCAAAGAGATGGCATTGGTCCTTCTTCTCCATAGAGCGGGTCCTTCATTGGGCGAGGGACTTTCTCACATCTTTCGCGTTTGTTGTTTGTTTCCTCGACAGAATCTAAAGCATACTCCATGTCGTAGGGCTCTTCTCTGGAGTTGAACCCTGTCTAAAACCTCGTCAGCTCCATCGCCGTGTGAAATCTGATTGGACGGAAAGTATAGATATATAGTGCTCTCACCAAGGCATAAAACCCAATAATCTCATAGTCATCCTCAATTTCCTTGACAAAGTGTGTCACTCCTGCCTATTTGGCGTCAACATCCAAATTGTAGATTGGATTTTGTGTCTAGCTTTGGGAGCTTACTGGCCATGCGAACACGTCTCCAGCACGGGCAACAAATTCGATACCCACAGGGTTGCCGATCTCATTAGTATCTGCATCCAAAGGGGACTTTCCAAGCACATATGTGCCACTCCCCTGTAAGACAGTATATGCCTCGTGTGTGGTTGAGTGATAATGAGGTTTAGCCGCGAGTGCCTCGTTGGCGATCTTCCAGTGACCTCCTTTGACCCACTCCGAAGTATTGATCGCTTCTAAAGCGCCTTCTACTGTTTTGTTCTCCAGCGCATTCCTATACACAACAACAGGGAGTGTCGAGTTAGGAGAATGAGGTGTGGGTGGGACGTGGAAGGTCTCTGGAGAAATTTGGGATGCTCTCATTTCGAGGGTAGAGGTTGTCTATGCAAGAGCGACGTTTTTGGCGACAGGACGTGCAGACTTATTAATGGAGTATGATAGTAGACAGTTTAATAATCTGTCTCCGCCACCTTCACGATATTTGTATCTGGGTGTAACAGAGGTCCAGCGGGGTCGACAATGGCAGTGTGTCATTACTATTCTGCATGCTTCGTGCCTCAAACAGGGGGACTGATGTCATGTGCGGGGGAGCTGCGGAACAGAGCCCTGTAAGGCACCTGACACTAGCCTAGTATTAGTATAGCGTCGTACGGAGTACTTGTTAAGTGTGACATTTCCCTAGTCACTTAGTGATGGTCACGTGATGTACGTGTCGGTCGCGTAATTACCGGCACATCCTTATTCCTCCCCTGTGGAGGGACAACCTTAAGAATACATCACACAATACTTATTTTCACTTTCGCTTTGATCCTCCCTACTGCTCTTCCGTATTGCTCTTTAATTACACTCTCTTCATAATCAACCCGTCCGATCCGTATCGTCACACGGTTCGGCCATAGTCTTACCCACTGTCAGAATAGCCTTTTGCTAAGGAGACTGTGCCAGTAAGCCTAATCCGAGTAACATTTTACATGACCCCCCTTTGCTTGACAACAGTTACAAAATCCCGGGTCCCAGTCATTATTCTTGTTATTGAGAAAGTCATCGTCGTTGAACTGACAATAGCCTAAATACTGTGAATGTGTTAACGTTTAATAATCTTGCAGTCTCGGTTCTATTGTTTTAGTTACGTCTTATAAAGACGGATAGACCTACATCGTAGTAGCTGTCTCCATAACTGTCGCAGCAGTTCGCGGTAGTACTCTTATACTTTTCTGTATTATACTGATCACCCGTAGGCGCGCAAACCCCATAAAAAAATGCAAGAGCGCTATCCCACGTCTCGTTAGGCTATTAAGGGCAGGACTCTTACGACATAGGAGATATACGTACCGTGTGCCGAATATAGCAATAGTGAGAAAGGTTGAAGACAGCATAATGTTGATGAACTGCCCGGGGAAAGATTGCGAGAATAAAAGATTTATTTACTTATTTTAATAGTTAACAACCGAATAATCGAAGAGGAACACATTGTTAAATACCTTATTCTAAATAGAATTCTTAATGAAGATCTAGTTATTAAGTAAGCATATTTATTTTTAGGTTTTTATTTCCTACGGTTAATTAACTATTAATTACCGGCCTTTTTAAAAAGAGGTTAGACGAGGCTTAGTAGTAAAGTCCGTCTTAAAAAAGCCTTACTAAAACTATAAGATATTTTAAACGTCGAAGGGGTAACGTTACGGTTCCGTATTAAGTTGTTTTGAGTAAGTACGAGTAATGTCTCTATAAATTATACTTTTAATACGTCGTATTTTGTAAGACTCAATTAATACCCTTGCTAAGCTTAGGGTGTTAGCCTTTGAGGATCCTCGCGCCGGGTTTCGAGGCAGCCACCCTGTGTTACTTTTTAATTATTAAATAAAAAAGTAATTAATAGGTAAGAAAATGTCAGGCCGCGTCGTATCAAGTGAAAAGGTCAGCCGTGTACGTAAGGTTTATTGGTGACTGTCATTCGAATCTGCCCTTCCTAAGCCTAACGCGCCTAAGATCCCCTTTTAATTCCCTCAATATACAAATAATCGTTAATCCGCCGCTAGGGCTACGAAGATTGCCCCCCGGTGCCCCCCCCCGGCGCTCCGGCGGTGGCTGTGCACCTGATAGAAAAGTAAGTCAAGAGATAATAAGAGAATTTATTATATTGATAATACTTAAAATAATTCTAATATTCTAATTAATAAGCAAAACCGACACTCTAGAAATTATTAGACTAACGTACGTACTTACGGAACGTTTAGTTAAATTTTTCGATCGGATCGTTTGGCTGGATCCCTTTGCCGGATCCCTTGGCCGGATCATTCGGTCAGATTGTTCGGATCGTTCGGACGAAAGGTTTAACTAGATCGTTCGGATGGAACGTTTTGTCAAGGATTTCGTATGTATTGTTAGGCATGTGTGTCTTGATTGAGAGATCAGGCGAACTGACTAGGGTTCGGCATTATATCGATTCCTTAGCGGTATTATTCTGACCCCTCTGTACTCCGTATTTAATATATGAATTTCAGGTTGGAATGCAGACCCATTCTTTTTAAGTGGATATCCCCACAGAAGTACAAATTAGGGGCCTTCTATTGGGTCGTCTCTATCCCCCCCTATAGTAACGCGGCCTTGAGCTTAATAAACTTTTCCTTTATGAAATTATTAATTATAAGCGCCCGCGGTAGGCTTATTGACGGTAGCGTGTATGCTAATTATATCCTTTCCAATATCTTTGAATTTATATATATAAAAGTGAGGCTATTTATTTTGGGCAATAGCGGTTAAGGTGGTCGGCGAATCGCAAGGCGCCGACGACGGTGTGCTAACCGCAGTGTATATACTTGGCTTTTAGGTTTTTGAGGGGCTTGCTTGGATCGCGGTAAGTAACGAATTGACGTTGAATTGTGGAATTTTTGATGCGGTTAAGTGAGGGCATCGTGAAGTAATAATTAGTAGTGGCATAATTTGCCGCCAACAGCGTACAGGCTACAAGAGTGATGGCGCTCAGCTCTAACAAATTAAGAACGGATAATCCTTAGCATCTGCCCTTTAGTTCCCTGATCCTACATCCCAAATTTGGTATTCGCAGCTGTTCAGCTTGACCTTAGAACCCACATCTCCAAGGACCGAGGTCGTCGATTCAAGTCCCAGAGCCACCAGCCGCGCTATGCAGCGGCCGGCTCGTCACTTTAGGGTATTGGACGGCAGTCTGATGGAAAGAACACAGCATCTCGCCAAGTTTGGGTGGCTCTCTCTCTGCCCGCTGCCATACGTCACAATCACCCGATGGGCACACAAAGTTGATGTCTACCGATTCGCTCTGCTCAGCCATTTTGCCAGTGGCTCTGCGGCACACCCATAACCCATGGAGGGATTCGCATGGCAAGGGCTTATAGAGGGGTCTTCCGATATCTTGTGAGATTTCACAATGGATACTTCAGCTCAGATATTGTCATCATTCATAACCATTCAACTGCTTCGTTTCCCATTACATCTCTCAACCGACCGCAAAGCATCCAGAAAGAATGTTACACGAGTAGTTCCCCAGGCAGCAGCAGCCCCTAATCTTGGAGCGCTTTGCGCATCTTCGCCTTCATGTGAGTTATCTTGGCCGCAACTCTTTTATCAATATATCCATTTACGGTTTCCGCCATATTCTCTTCAAGCCATTTGCTCACATGCTCTTTCATTGCGTTTCCCAGGTTATCCTTGACCCAGTCCTCCATATCATCACATATATCTGGCATCTGTTTCCCGAGCTTCTCGCACTCGTCGTCCAGTTCGCCGGTATGAATGAGCAAAGACTCAACAGTCTCCTCAATTTCACTTTGACGGTTCTCTAGTTTACAGCAGTTATCCTCTGCCTCGTCATGCCGTACCTGCAGCTCTTTGTTTCGCCTCTTAAGTTCCTCGATATCTGCTTGTAGCCGTTCGATCTGTTGGCATTGCTGTTTCAGCAGAAACATCAAGCCGCTCTGGGAGCACTCCGGATCTACATGTTGAGGTTGGGGCTTTTCCTCTAGGCAGTGGGCGTTGCTCGGAGTTGTGTAGATAGAAGTAAATGAACGCTCGGAACACGTTCTTTTACTTCTTGGATTTAAATCAATATCTTCGCTGCCGCAGTGCAGCCATCGTTTAGAAGCATTAGGTACATTGTGCTTCTGTTCGGTGTCGCTGTATTCCGGCAGGGCATTATCGCAGCCAAGAAGTTCTTTGACGAAAGCTGCAGCGGCAAGGCTGGCCTGTGGCTGCTGACCATCGTTTATGCGTTCTTCATACTGCGGCGGTGTCTCTTGGTACCGCGGAACAGCGTCAAACGGAACGGTGGAAGCACACGACTCGGACGTTGCTGGTGTTGTAGCTCTGCTATGTTCTCTGTCGCGCAGTAGGCTACCACTTTGGACCTCCTGGGGTGTCAACACGATGCCACCTTTGCCATTATAGAGCCGGCGCAGATCCACCCTACGCTCGTATAACTGACGCTGGGCTGCGGTCAGATTCGGAAATTGCTGAACAGCCTGGACGAAAGCATGAATCTTGGTCATCGGCAAGACATTGTGCGGGACGTAGAGGGAGAATATCGAAGCGGTCGCAAGCGACGCAGCGGATGCAAAGGGATGCCGCACGGGGCTTTCGGGAATCTCGTCGAGAGTGAAACCAGTCGGCGCAATAAGCTGGGCATAAAGGCCGCTGTGCAGCCGGAGCTGGAGGCGAGTCATAAGGCGCTTAGCGCCCAGTCGCTGGCGGACACGTTCGAGGCAAGGCGGCCTGTCGTTACTCGTGTCGGTTGTATCGCAGGTTGTATGACGCAGTGATGCGATGCGGTCGGGAGTGATCTGTAAATAAATGGTGATTTTGTTGAAGGCATTGTCGGTAATGGCTACGCTAAGGCGGAAAAGAATGGATGTGGACGAGTGATAGACAGCATTGAGTTTGAAGGGCTGGTCAAGAAATTCGGGCTGTCGTCCATCTTTATCTTCACGAACGGCAAAGACGGTGTGGGCAAATCGTACATCTCCACCGGACGACGACATATTATTCTCGCTTGGATTCAATCTTCTAGATGTGCACAACGTAGCAGACGGATACCAGCTGGGTGGATACTTACCGTAGTCAAGTCATGACCCTTTCCTCTCTTTCCCGACGAATACGTCCGCGGAATTTCATAAGCAAGACGGGTTCCGACGTAGTCCCGACCCTACTCGAGATGCATTGGGGGCTCTTGGGTGAGCAGTAGAATGACCAGAGCGACGGGTGACGGATCCAAGAGTGAAGCTGCAAAGCAAAGTTCACGAGTTGGATGGGTTCCGACGGTATTCCAGTCCTACTCGCGCAAGGAGTCGGGCAAGCATTCAGGGGCAGTCGGCTGGTCGGGACGTCAAGGACTGGTCTGCTTAATGAAAGCGCGTGCGCGCAAGATGAGGTTGAAGTTGCAAATGATGGTGAGTGACACCACGTGCATTCGTGACGGAACGGAAATCAGTGGCTGGATCAATCGGGATCGGTGAAGTGTTATTCCGCACCGGGTGGGTGAGCGATGAAAGATGGGACGTGCGTGATTGGTGAGGTCTCGGTCCTTTGCCCCGCCTGCACTCGGCAAGGTACAACGTCTGTCCGTCGGATCTGTGCCGGCCCAGATACACCTTTCAACCTCGCATCGGGGTACACTTTACGTAGGAGGGCATACCGATTGCTCAACAACCATCTACAAAGCATGCCAGCTCGAACGTATACAATGAGGATATGGTAACTCTTCACCGTTGAGACCAGCAATGCACAGAAACAGGCGGGGAATGTCCGCAACCTAGTTTTCAACGTGTCTTTCAACACATCTTGCGCCAGGCAGACATCTTTTTGTGTTGTTGACAGAGCTCATCTCTGCCCCTGGAGTTTTCACATTTGACGATGTACAAGTAAAGTCATGCAATCTAGAAGCAGCTCTCTGCTGAAGATCGAATACGAAGTGCCGACTAAGCTAGGTCCTCTGATCTTTCAGCATTATCTTTGCTGCCGGCACAGCCTTCAGGCGTGGCATTCGTGCGAGGTTTCAAAAGCCTTCCAAATGCACACATCTTTGGTGAAGGTATTGTCAGAAGTCACGTCCCAAGGATACGCGCGGTGATCCGCAACGGGCGCTGGAGCGCCTGGTCATTGTTGAATTACATGAACGGGGCATGCGGGCCAGATTCTCGATACCGCCTAAAGTGGGATACTCTGGGTGCGGTGCGACCGTCGTGGGGTATAATTACTCCGGGGCGCACCTGGATAACGGTGGCAAGCTCCAGTGGCTCCGGTATCTCGACGATCAGGGAGGTGGTCGCGGTGAGCATTGCCCCCGATATAGCTCAAGTCCTAAATATTCAGTTGCCTCAAGCCGGTAGGGCCCCGTCACAACATCTTTCTCCTCCTACCTCACCCGGACTTCCGTAACCTGAATAAAGGTTACCTGAATGAAGCCCAACTTGGACCAGTCTTCTGAAGAAAAATTGTTTGCGGGCGTGAAACAGGCTTTGATGTGAACGTTAGGCAGAAAGACCTTGGCGTCGCTGAAAAAGGGATGGGCGTGTTATTATTCCCCCCCCGCAAGCTAAGCTAACCACTCGAACCACCACGATAAAGCCCTAGGAACATCAGTTGACGTGCAAGTCTCGACTGTCGGGAGCAATCTCTAGGAAGCGATTGGCGGTAGCAAGTAGCAGTCTGCCATTCATACATAGACCAGTGACATGGCCTAGAACATACTTGGTCTCCTTCACGCAAGCGACGTCCTTTCTGGCCCAGCACATGGCCCCTTCAACGCTTTCCCCCGTAATGAAGGTGCCAGCAGAGTTCGTGCCAGCATTGCCCCAGCGTGATATACCTCAGATCGTCCCTATAAAGCTTGCGACCAGCCGCTCAGGACATGTCGTTCTCGGCCACCTAGGGACTAATCTCGGCCCGTCCGGCGCAGTCAGAGCCCAGGTTGAGGCTCCCGACACGGGTACGGCGACGGTGGGATCCGTGGCACAGAGTGACGTGTTGCAGCTAATCTGGACGTGCCTGGTAGTACTATAAGGATTCTAGCAGCCCTGACTGCCTCAGGGGCTGAGAGCCGTCATGTCAATGGTAGCCGGCAAGATGAAGTTGGCGAGGGTCAAACAGGCCAGAAAACTGCCAATGGCATGTCAGCATGGTTTCCGTAGGGACAACAAAGAAGACGTTGTGCGCTTGAGGATGAGTTGCACTCTGGGCAACATCTCAATATTTCTTGGGGAGATGAGAGAGGGGATCAGGGAGTATCTATGGCGAGGTCTGGTCAGTTGAAAAGATTGGGCGAGCGACGAGTGATCTCTGCCAGCATTGTAAGCCAAACGATCAATTAGTCCTCCTAAACCATCTTCAGTATCGGGATTCCTCCATTCTTAGCTGCCCCGCTGGATCTTATACGACACGAAGGAAGCTAACTTTCTGAGAAATTAGTTCCTAAATTTTAATTACTTAATACTTGCTCAAGAACTCCGCGCCCGCTAAACATCCCAACGGGAAAAAGCGATAAAAAAGAAGAGAAGGAAAGATTATCGTCGGCTCCCAAGAATCAGGCCACGGCCATCCCGACGAGAGAAAGCGGATGGCGGTGATAAAGTTTTCACCGAGTCGAGATGGTCTTGGCACCACTTCGAGCACATATTTTTAAAGCCGACAGAAAAAGCTTGGCCCCGTTGGTGATCAGCTCTCAGAAACCCACTCAAAACTGCGATTAACCTAGCAAGGAGCCATGTTTTTCGACGCACTTAGATTTAATAAATGCGAAAGAAATGCCTTTGCCTCCCTTTTGCTCCAGTCCACTTTATGATTTCCATGGTCACCGAGCGGAGTTACGAGCACCTTGATGGGCTGTATTATCTCACTCTCGAAGTTCGCAACAACTCGGCAACGGACGAGAACATAACGGCGGGTAGAAAGAGTAATAGCCGAAAACAAGCTTTTCATTTGCACAAGAAAATTTTGTTAGGGACATGGACGATGATTGTGGTGGTCGTAAGAGTAAAGAAGAGTCCAAGCACGTAGGTTCGTTTTTCTTGTTGTTACGGGCATCCCTATCCATGCCAGAGCAAGTTCATACAAGTGAGCCGGCCGTGCCTAGTAGACAAGGCCTTCCGTTATGAACGCGCCTCGGACAGCAGCACACACCAAGCCCGGCCGCGAGAAAGGATCGGGTGGCTCTGATTGGGTGCATCTTGGTGTACATGGGGTTCCTGCCCCCCAACCACCATATCAGACCATATGAAAAAACTACTGCGACCAATACATTTACATGCTTGGTTTTTAAAGCTGACATTGAATCATTCGTAGCCTAATCGGGAAGTGGCCAGTGGTACGTTATTGAATCGGACGTCAATATTAGAACCTGTCCCAGCGGAAGGCATAATTTCATGGCTAAGAAGCTTAGAATATGCATGTCTTTCTACCATTGTACAAACTCCACGTTTCTACGCCCTTGATCTCCTCACAGGCCCCACGGCTCACAAATAGCGGTGTTCGGGTCCGGGGCCATCTTAACCCCATCCTTCTGACACTGGACGTCCTTCCTGCCCCAGCATTGGGCGCCCTTGAAGTTCTCCCACTCAAGAAACTCGGCATGGTAGTCCTTCTTCGCGCTGACGTTGCTCCACGCTCGCCATACCATCAAGCTGCCCCGGTAGAGCTTACGGCCCTTGGGGCAAGTCGTGCCGTTGTTGCCAGGTGCAAGCTCAGTAGGAGCGCCATCCTTCCATCCCGCGCAGTCGGGGCCCACGATCAGGCTGACCCCGCCGGACGCCACGGCGAGGGCGTCGTCTACGGACTCAGCGCAGATCGTCGTGTCACATTCGACCTGGAGACACATGTTACTGCCGTAGTTGTCGCGGAAGGCAGTTGCACGCCGAGCAATGTCCCGGTTGTCAATGGCGGCTGCCGCGCAGAGCTGGACGAGCGCCAGATAGGGCAAGACTTGGCTGTCTTCTGTGAGACACCATAAACGTAACGGGGGCCGGAATGTTGAGTATCTTTGTAAGGCAACTTACGACTTGAAGAAAACCATTTTGCAGAGTTTTCTGTAGGTGATGCTGGTGAGCTCTGGTGGCTTACCGGTTGTCAACGATGATATTCTCGAACGATGGTTTGAAGCTGGCAACAAGTTGTTGTCCTTACAGGAATATTTAATGTACAAATGTTCAAGAGACAATGGCCTCGAGTGTTTTCTTGAGTCGGAACTACCCGGGGTATGTAATTAATTAGTGGGGCCCGTTTGGCAAACTCATACTACCATCAATCAGGACCATCTGTTGCAAAAGATCATTGAAATGTCGGAAAACCGTCTTAAACCGAGGATCTTCAGCGTGATTTTCAGGATTAATCTTCGCAGGATAGAGTTCCTGACGGCTAACTGCTACACCACTGGTCATGCAGCGGCTATTTCAAGGAAGTTGCTCAATGCCATTTTGGAAGTCAACAACAGCCCTACCTAAATGCAATCTAATCTTTTACTTGAATTAATCATGTTTACCCCACTGCGCGACGCTCAGACACTCGACCGTGTCGAAGAGCGTTCAAAGAGTCACCTTGATGGCTAGCAAACCACATCGGGAGTAGAGAAGTAGGAGCTTGGCGAATTCAAAGCCTCACATAAAAGCGCTCCGGCAAAACCGAGGCTAAACGAACTTACTCAAATTGCTGATCGAGCTTGCTCGAATTTCACCTTCAGAGCCCTCCTCCTCAGCCGCGATAATAGCTCAAAGCTCGGGCTGAACTTGACCTCATTGCCTTGTTTTGTTCCCGCTGCAATGCCATAAAAGCCTGTGCAAAGAACAATGTCAGTGTCTTATTTATTAAACTTTTTTAAATCATCTGTTAGACACCGGGCAATTCAGCGGGCAACTATTGGCGATCAACGACAGTGTACGGGGAGGGAGGTTAGCAGCAACGTCAGGTTGCTGCCGTATTGGCTAACTTTGTCTTCTAAATTGACAGGTAAATTCACAGCAAAACTTTCACACTGATAGGACGCTGCCAGAGGCTGCATGCGTAATATCCTCGGGATGCGGTTCTGCAGAAACGGATGACATTCGTATGCAGTGAGGGCTTCGATCAAGTCGGGACGGCTCCTTCACTCGACATTAAACTTAACACTGCTTCGCCCAGCTCAGCGTAACATCCCTCGTCTGGGATTTTACATGAAATGCAAAATTTTCTGTCGGAAGGAGAATAATTCGGCATTTTCAGAAAAATGAATTAAGAACCAAGTCTAGGCATCTCTGGATAATTTGTTATCTGATCATCTAAAGTTTTGGGGTGATCCACAACTCAATTTAACCTTCGAAGGTGCCCCACGAACCCCACCCTATTTGATCTTCCAAGGTTTGCCCAGACAAGTGACAATCCCAGGGCGCCTCGCTATGTTAATTCCGTAGATTCCCGGTATTTGCCGGCGTGATGCTTGGAGCAGAGCCAACCTCGCCGAAGTTGGCTTTTTGGCATGTTGGCGGAATACTAAAGCGATGATTATAAGTACTGCTGAATAGTTCTGCGGTGATGCCTACTCTTCTCTTCAACAGCAAACACCACAGGAGCCCTACAGCCGCATTGTCTTTTGCGGTCCATTCCTTCCTTACCTGGCACGATGTACCTTTCAAGCTTTGCTCTCTTTCTGGCTTCGGCCACAGCGGCGACATCCCAGGCTGTAGCAGCTGTTGCCCCCTCGGCACCCGCCGGCAAAATTGACTGGAGAGCAGTTAAATGTGACGGAATCGTCATTGATGCCAAGGCCCTGCCCGAAAAGCGATGGGAGGCTACTGGCGCGACGGATGCCTTAAAAGAGGTCTTCGACGGCTGGCGCAACTACAGAAACAAGCCTGATGAGGTCAAGTTCGAGTTCAGCGAGTACGTTTCTTGGTTTTTCGGTGGCCCAGAGCAATGGCGCTGCACCGAAATCTTTGACGTGCCTTGCTCGACCACGCTCATCTGCAAAGATACTACGTATCCTGCCGGACATCTTATTCTCAACTCGTTCTCCAAGCTTCACCGAGTAAATGACACCTTGTATCATTTTCTATTGCCTGCCTGATGTTGACGAACGGATTTTCAGTTCCACCACCGTTATTTCGAGGCTCTCAGCCTGGCGCAGCAGGATATCCAGTCTGAGATGGACCTCTTCGCCGAGTCTTTCTCCGTACCGCCTCCCAGGGACGCGTCTGCTGATCAGACGAAGAGAATCCTCCTCAACGTCGCTTACGGTGTGATTGGAATTGCGCAGGCCTACATGAACAACTTTTGTAAGTTTGTATTCCCAAGGAGATAAGCCGGTTAACTCCACACCTGACGGCTTGTGTGCCTGACTTGAATGCACAGTCATCTTTGCCAAGCCCGTTGAGCAAGCCGCGGGAGCTATGATCTCGCAGGTCTGGCGATCGCAGTTGACGACCACCCTTAGTTACAGCATCTTCACTGGTTGGGCCATCGGAAAGGACTACATGCTTCCGTAAGTGAAACCTTTTCTTCAGACCTTTCCTGTATCGGCTATTCACCAGACACGACGAACAGAGGCAAGGATCCTAAGGTTCAGTATGGATCTCTTGGTGCCATGATGGGCGACGTCTTCGACAGCTGGAAGGCCACTCAGACTGCCTACGTCGAAAACATCTTCACTCCTAACAACACCGAGACGGAGAACTTCCTCGTGGCAGCTTTGGATAACGGCCTCATGGGCGCCACCCCCGATGATCTAAACGCCTACGAGATGTCTAGGATGGTCCAGAAGCTGTTTTACCCTAGGTTCATGGTGTCCGTTTGGCAGACTCGCCGGTGGGCCAAGAAACCCTTCGTCTTGTAAGTCACGCACACGTTGCCCCGAAACCAAACGACGCCATTGTCGCACCTTCTCACACCTTTCTATAGGAAGACAAACTTGCCTTGCAAGATGAACCTGGGAGAGAGAGATTCCTCTCTTTGGCCCTTCCTGCCGGATAGCGACCACGCGAGAGCCGCCGCCTGCTACGAAGACAGACTCTTTTACCTCGTTGACATCAGAAGCGAGGGCGTCAAGTTGACAACCGAGTACCCCTCCATCCGCCCCAACATCTTCAAGAGCAAGCACTGGCCTCTCACGGCGCTGTTCGGCACAGAGACCATGGACGGCTCTCGTTATGGCGGAGTCACAAAGGAGGATATTGTCGCCGCCGCCTACGGCGGCTGGGTTGAGGGTGGCCACAAGAACAATGTCTTCGAGCCCAACTACACCGACGTCTCGCCTCAGGCCCAGAGTAAGCTGTGGTCTGACCAGGGCAACCGCAGCCCTGGTTTCGTCAATATGACCTTGTGCCAGAACATTTACACCATTGTCGGCAACGTCGTGCATGGCTCGCCCGAGCAGAGCCACTCATGGCCCTGCGCACCCCTCTCCGAAATCAAGCCTCCAGTTTAATTAAATGGGGCAGAATAAGGTTCTGGTATTCCGGGGTGGTGAGATGGCCACGGTTTGGAGAGTGTTAGCGATACATCCGAAAAATGTCACATGTTCCATTCGGCCACCTAGCCTGACGTATTACACTTAGATGTAGTTTTATTGTATTCCAATGATAATGTAACCGTTCTCTCCACTAACCTTCGATTCTCCACGTGACCGCTATTATATACTCTAGGAGCTTCATCGGCACCAACCATAGACTAGCATTGCACCTTCGCCTCAGGAAGATTGAGAACCATGCCGGGCTTTGACCCGCTGTCAATAATCTTTCTGACGTAGAAATAGGAAGCCTCATCCACTGACTGGTTATTGATTTTACCTGATCGGATTTCCTGAGTTGTATATAAAGGTACTGAAGTGAATTGAATCCATCCAAGTACGCTAATAGGCTGTATATTCAAGGCGGATATTATTACTCATATTTATGAAGACTAGCTAGACTGCGTGCGTAGTAATGATTGCTTTAAACCTAATTATAATATACAGCTAACAGAAGCCCCTCGGTATGGCTCGGTAAGGGTATGCGGGCGCCTAGCTACGTTGACATGTTGTTATATCATAAATTTCAAACTGTCACTAGTGTAAATGATGGTTTATGTGTGTATTTATTGCTTTTGTGTATTATTCTTGCCTTTATGTAGACACCTTTGGAAGTCATTTCTTCCCTATCCCATTCCTATGGCCCGGTCCCGTTGTGAACAAGGTACTGATTATATGAAAGTCAACGGCACCCAAAAGGGTGATCCATTGATCTTTGGGCGAACATTATAAAGCTACCTTTTCTAGACTCTTAGTGTTCTGTAGGAAGACTGCGTCTCCGTCGATTATTCCATGGCTTATAGAAACACCTGATTTTCTTTGATTGTGATTATCTTGATACATCTTTCTCACTTGAGAACTGCCTCCACAGCCTGTTTCACTACCTTCTCCAATGACACCTTCGGAAGGCCGAGCAAGTCATTCATAATCTGGCCTTCCTTTTCTAGATGCCCGCCAAATCTTCCGGTAACGAATCCTGTCTCAATCAGGGTGTAAATCGCCGCAGTATCTCCAGCTGCGACTGCCAACTTTTTTTCCCGGATTAAAGTCTCCGAATTCACAACCTCCGTATCAAACCTATCCCCTGTCACGTTTTCAATAGCATCAAGTAGCATCCTTTGCGTCAGAGCGAAATCACTCAGCCAAACGACCTTGTTCGCAGTCTCTTCCCACTTCTGCGTCAGAGCATTGACGAGCGCAAGGGCGGTGTTCTCCTCGGTTGTCGCGCTGAACCAGCCCTGGCCGTCATCCCAAAAGACAAACTTCTTGGTAGAGATGTGCATGCCCAAAAAGTCGTGTTTCGCACTCCACCGAATCCACATGCCACAGGCAATGCTCATCCACTCCATGCGATGCTCCAGGGACCGCAAAAAGTCTTGTACCTCGCCCTTCTCGCGGAACACAGAACACAATGAGCGAGCGTCGAGGTTGTTGTTGTTGAGACCGAATTCGGAAGGGATATAGCGGCGGACGTGAGCTTTGACGGCAGCAGAGATGATACGGAGCTGGGTATTGACGGCTAGGGTGGTCATGCAATTTATGACAGCGTCTTGGCCCGCGAAGGCGGCAACGAGAGAGGAATCTGGGTAAGTGTCGGGAATTGTAATGAGGCGGGTTGAGGGAGGTAAGCTGGTGGCCGTGGACGTGCCGGTAGTGGTTGAAGAGATGCGTTGAACAATGGTGATTGTTATGGACGGAGCATTGAGAAGTGCCTGAAGAATGACGGTGCCTATGGAGCCGGAGGCGCCAATCATGACAATATTTTTGAAAGGGGAGGCCATCTTCGGGGACAAGATTGTAGCTTGAGAATCGGTCTTAATTGAGGGGTTGGTGTCAAGAGATGAAATTCCTCAACGCAGGGTGAGCTCAAGCATTTTATCTCCTGTCTACGGGACTTATGACACTGCAGGTTTCTATGCCATACGTATCCCAGTAAAATTTCCATGTCAAACTATGCTGCAATAAGAGCTCCGAGTTCCCAAAGATGGGTTTTAAGCCTACTTCAGGGGTACTTGACGGTAAAACTGATCAGTAATCAAAAATCGCGCCTTGCCGACTCCATTGGCCCTAACATATTGCTAGGTCCACGATGATGGACCCGATATGTAATGCATGGCTCCGCCTCAGCTGACGTGTTTCCTACCTAATGTAACCGCGTGAGACATAATGCTCAGTAAGCATTCTCTCGTCCTTGGCAACGAAGCCGTACGGCGCGCTTCTGCGTACTGCCTCGAAGGCGGCGATTGCTACAAGCGAGGCACCATTTCAATGTGCTAGTCAGACGGCGGTATGTGGGGTGGAAATTCGTAATCAAGCCATTTTCTTGGAAAGCCAGCAGTTTGAAGGTTGGTAAGGAGACACAGGTTTAGGGGTAGCTTAATTTGTAAGGAAGGAACAGAGCATGTGAAATGTAGTCGCAGCCAATCGCGAAGAGCAGCCTCATTTATCCAAAGCGGCTTCCAAGGGTGACGCCCGCTCCAGTTGTTCTACAGTAAGTACATGAGGGTGGCAGATGACGGGTTCCCACCGTTCTACAGACACATCAAAACAAATGAATGTAGCAAGTATTCTGGCGAGAATGACGTCGTATCAGTAACGTAAGATTTGGGAAGAATTCAGTCTGTCGGCTATATTTGAATTGGGATTCTCACATGACCCCCCCTAACTAACAATAAGACATCTGAACATTCGGGTACTGGAGCCGGCTAAGTCAATGTTCCCTTATTTTAGCGGGAGATAGTGAGCTCTATTCCATCACAATCGTATATCTACGCTCTATGTCGTTAATATGCTTTCGGGCTAAGGGGGTGAAACAGGCGAGATCTTCGCGACGAAGACGGACGTGTAATGTTTTTTTCTTAGTCTGAGAGGTTTACGAAGAGATATTCTTAATGGGACTCTAGAGCCCCCGTATAGTGGAAGAGGGGGTACTCGTTAAGTAGGCACACCTTCTTCATATATACAAGTTTCAGGTTTTCAACCACTTTTGGTTCCAACGTAGTTTTCTATTAATCAGCAAAGTCGGCCGCACAGACTATTTTTATATAAAAAAAGTATAATACCCAAAAAATAATTTTATTATAATAAAAATAATTTATCTACCTCTTATATTTTTAATAAATAACTTCCGTTTTTTAAAATCTTTTTTATATATTTTAACTACTTTTAAATCGTAAAAATAATTTATAATAACTTTATAGCTTTTTTATACCGTAATATCTTAAATACTTTATATATTTTTAATATAATATAATCCTTTTTATTTTATTATAACGTAATATTAATCCTCTTATTTATTATTAAAACGAGTATACTTAATTTTTTTAATATTAAAAACTTTTTTTTATAATTTTCGTCTTTTTTATTTCTTAAGAAACTTATATTTATAAACGTATTCCCTATATATAATTAGTAATACTAATCTCTTTAATACTTATATTTAATAATTAATACTATATACTTATTTCTACCTTAGTATTATATACGCTAAAATAATCCCTTTATATTTAAAATAGTTCCTTTATATTAAAAGTGGTTTTATTATATTAAAAATAATTCCCTTATATTAAAAATAGTTTTATTATATTAAAAGTAGTTTACCTATATTAAAAATAGTTCACTCGCACTAAAAATAGTTCCTTCCTACTAAAAATAATTTATTAATATTAAAAAGTAGTTTTTTACACACTAAAAGTGGTTTTTTATATACTAAAAGTGGTTTTCCTATATTAAAAGTAGTTTACTAATATTTAAAAATAGTTTTTTTATACTAAAAGTGGTTTTCTTATATTAAAAGTAGTTGACCTATACTTAAAGTGGTTTACTTATATTAAAAGTAGTTTACTCGTATTAAAAGTAGTTTACCTATATTAAAAATAGTTTATTAATATTAAAAAGTGATTTTTTATATACTAAAAGTAGTTTTCTTATACTAAAAATAGTTTATTAATATTAAAAAGTAGTTTTTTATATTAAAAGTGGTTTACTTATATTAAAAATTAGGGTTAGGGTTAGGGTTAGGGTTAGGGTTAGGGTTAGGGTTAGGGTTAGGGTTAGGGTTAGGGTTAGGGTTAGGGTTAGGGTTAGGGTTAGGGTTAGGGTTAGGGTTAGGGTTAGG